CGGTAAGTTGGCAACTTTCCTTGAGAGGAGGACCCGAGCGGTAAATCTGCTCATGACTCATGACCAGGAACTCTCAGACCGCGCTCCCGTAGGATTTTTCGATGCGCGCATGGAAATACAGTAGCTTATCGGATAGGATCAAGGGATCCATGGCTCTAGTCGGGATATCGTAGATGTCTTTTCCGTTAGATTCTTTCTCTCTGTTGAGATTTATGGGTCGAAGCGTCGTCTCGGGTAGAGAAATGACGACGCCAAGTGGAAGTTTTAGGTGGTATTTCGATGGCTGTCACTCCGTCATCATGCCGCACTGTGGCTCGTCTCACCACCAGCGCCTAGTGGCTCGTTCGCTCATGCGGCGACCGCCACCGAAAGCGAAACGAGGCGAATACCAGCTACGCGGCTCAGCTTGACCACAGGTTCGGTTCTTGAGCTCGGTTCGAAGTTTATGGAGCCGCGTTCTCGGAACTTGCCAAAAGCCGCAAGTCTCAAGCTTCCAACGCTGCTTGGGAATTCCGATAACGCTTCAACCGATCAGCATGTCTGCTTTGCGGAAATGCATGAGCCCGTCCGACTTCGCACCTTCTGGGAACTGAATTCGACTTCGTGGGCCTTACGCGTTTGAGGACTGCTTTCTCAGCTCCGCAAATCTCGCTGGCTGCTCTGTTTTGCCTGGATCCTTTCCGACAACTTTCCGTGGGACCATGCGTCCCGAACGGGAGGCAGCTCTTCCCTCAGCATCATCGTGAGCTTGCCTCTGTGAGGGTCTCCGTGAGCGTAGAGTGGGACACGGTTGCCAGCGAATTTAGCGAAAGCCACCCTCGATCCATCTCATTCAATTGCTTCCTGTATTGATTCTCGGAAGCGGCCCCGAATCCGCAATATGCGGAATCTCTTACGTCGGCCTCCGAGAAAGCCGGAACAGTTTGGCTCGGGGAAACTTATCACCCGATCAGGATATCGCATCGGTGGAATGTTTCTCACCGACCGTGCCAGCTGAGAATCTCTCACCTGATCGTCCGCTTCGGAGCTGTCATAGGCTCATGATCGGGAGCTGCCCAGTCACGGAGATTCTCAACTTGGAAAATCGAGCTATGCTCTCAAGAGTGCAGTCAAAGTGTAGTCAGGTTCCGCGCTCAAAATGATTCGAGAGTCGAACGTAGTGGGAAAGCATTCACTGTCCTCAGCAGGCCTAGCCCCTGGAGCTTCGAAAACCTACGCCGATGACGTGAGGCTCATAGGCCTCATTCGTTTTCATTTTTTGGACGCCCGAGCCGGAAAAACTCTGGATGCGGATCCGTCCTCACGTATTTTTCCCCTCTATGAGTCCCTGCGCGCCGCGGGTACTCGGTGTTGTTACACTCATCGCGGTGCGGGGAACTTTTGAAGTGATTGGTGACAAGCCCTGATCATCGACCATTGATCACGGCGAGGAAATGTCGCTTCATTCATCGAGTGAGCAAACGGAGTATGACGACCCGCGGAGGGACTCTCATGCAAAGTCCTGGCCGCACGTCAGAAGGGGACGGGCATGAGGAATGACACTGTAATCTGAAAAAGAATATCATATGGCCTCCTCGTCTTTTTATTCAGCAAATAATGACATCCAACAGGTGACAGGTGAATCCAAACGCGAGCGCGACTAATCCGATAGTGAGTGCCTCCGGAGGAGTGTCACCCTTGCCCTATCGAATGATTCGTTTACCACGCTCAAACCATACCGCATAACCTTTACGGTGTGCTCCACCCAGTCGCCATTCAACGTGCCAAATGGCTCAAAGTGCCTCTCTGACTTCTTGACAGTCAATGATAGCGACGCAACGTACAGAAAGTGACACAGCACTTATGGAGAAAATGCAACCTTTCATGGACGTAATCATTTTATGCAAACCCCTCTCCCGCCCGGCCAAGAGAGGAAGAAGTCGAAAGACTTCGACAGCTGATGTTTGCGGTCCAACGGGGAGAAGGAGGAGCCATGTGGATTACTCGAGCTCGAGAGCTCAGCGTTGGACGACGACAAGGCGAGGGAGCTCCTTCCGACGGAGAAGCTGCAACCTTACGTGAGCCTCATACAGAGCGACGACGGCCTCGGAAATGCGTCTCCCATTCGCGATGCCGGAGATAGCTCCGCAAAAGAGCGTTCTCACCTCAGCGGCGCCGATCGATTCCGTCAAGTGACACCACTTGTTGACATTGCGGACGCCTCTGTTTATCTTCCTGACGGAACACCGAGCGGGGAAAGAAATGTCACTCGTTCGCAATTTGAGACTTGAAGGCTGAATGACTCCGGGAGATCAAAGCTCGACCCCGATCCCGTGGTCCGTTGATCCCGGCCCGGGAGCACGGCAGCATCCGCGATAGATCGGACGACTGACGTGGATTCTGCCGCGTCGGCTGTGGTGGCTCCCCGCGGTATTCACAGAGTAGGTTTTTGCGCTCTAGGCTGCGCGAATCCGGCCGGTTGCATAAACCGCGCTCAGTCAGCCTTGTGTAAGGAGCATTCCGCTGCATAACCTCAGCTTGCCTGCCTGCCTCGTATGGAAAGCATCTGGTCGTTGGTGTCGGATGATCGGACCCAGCCCGCATCGCTGAACCCCCTTCGGGGTTTCAGGCGGATTTCCTCGTTCGACGTTCCGTTGCGTAGCACTTGCGGCTCGTCAACCGCAGGGAAAAAAAGGCGCCGCCACGGGCATATCGGGACAGTGTGTCTGGAGAGCCGCTCGGCTCCATACGAGCTCAGGACCGAATTCTCGGAGTGGCTTCATATGAGGGAGGGCTCCGAATCACGACTCGTCCTACTATTGACGCAAGCTCCGCGTCTTTGAGAAGAAAAACGCTCTTGGACCAGGAATTGTTCGGCTGGGAAATCTCTACGCAGTGAATCGTATGATCTGCATCGACAGCGTGCAGGAGCCGCTTCCCTTGTTAAGGTCGTACAGACCGTGTTATACATATTTACCTCTCATTTCATAGTCCTGGTTACAGCCAAAGTCACGAGCTCGACAGCGAGTCGAATACGTGGTCGGCGAGAGCAGATAGCCGACAATGCAAGTGAGCCGAGACTCACAGACCGACTGAGCTGGCCAAAGAGCGAGGGAAGCACGGTTTAGCACGGCATAAATTTATTTATAACCCTATAAGTCTCGGTCTGGCTGCGAGGCTCCCGGGTAAAACTTCGCTCGCGGAACTTTGTCCAGTCCATGGCGACTCATTCAATTAGCTCACCTTCTTGGCTTGAAAACGAATCGCATGACTCTACCCGATTGGCATTTAATAAATCCTAGATGCACCAACTGTGGAAGACTCCCTAGGGCGAGGAAGGATGGAAGAATTAGCGTGACCTTTCATCAACTCGGAGGCTTCCGGATCCATCGAGCTGCACAGGACCGTGGAATGTCCCTTGCTGTGAAATACTTCTAAGGAGATCTTATGATTGTGGAGTGAGCGACCTCGACGATGGATCCGTAGCCTGGGAAGCTGAACAGAGGAGCGAAAGACTGAAAATATCATTTTCTTGGGAGGAAAGCTTGCTCGCTGGAATTACGCACCACGGCACAGTGTGCTTTTCGTACAGTCATTTTCCTGTTGCAAGTCTGGAGAAATTGGAGCTGGGAGTATCTATTGAACCAGCCCCACTCTAGTCGTTTTCGGGAGGAGTCGACGCAGCGATCCATTCCGCCAGCGTCATTCAGACTCTGCACCGTGATGACGGGGTTTGAGTCGAGAACCCCGATTTCGCAGAACTGAACGGCCGGAGTCGATAAACTCCGACGTACAGTTGGAGCGGTTCCCACCGTATAACTATTTTTGTGACTTATGCAGCCGACTTGACCCGTTCGAGATCGAGTCTACGCGAGTCTGAACAATGTTCGAGTAGAATTCGGCGAGAATCGTCGAGAGCCGCCCAGAACCCCACGAACGTTGGATAGCGAGAAATTGTCCTCGGCTAAGACAACAAATAATATCACATGTCAACAGCTGGGAGGAGGTCCATATCTTCGTGTGGAGCGTGTTCGTACACATGTCGTGCCTTTCTATTCGTACATCGCGTGCGCGTTCCCGGAGTCGCATCCCTGCCATCGAGTCTCTATCACCAAGTGATGTCGCTCGCGGCGTCTCCTGGGTGCGGCGATTCAGATGTGCGTTGCTGCTAGATCCGATCAAAATCCCAGGCTAAGCCGCATTTCGAGATGAGAGCATCCGATGGATGGAAGTATCGGAGAGCTCTGCCAGAAAACGAACGATGCGTCCGCGGACCAGGCTCGTGGCAGTATCAAGCTGAATACGAGTTCCTGATTCTTCTGAAGTTGGGTCGATGTCTCCGGGTCGGTTTTTCCGCTAGTAGAGCTGCCTGAACTCGACGATATCCATTTTGCCACAATTTCGCTCACGTAACCTAGCGACTAGCTCGTGTCGGAACAGATATTGGATCAGGGATCTTGCCATCGAGCTCAGGCACGATAAGACTTGAGCATCAAAATAACGATAAAGGTCACGTGGCGCGCTCGTTCCGCTGTTGGGGAGAAAACCTTCAGCTACATCGTCCAATGACAAATACAAAGCCCGAGCGAGAACGGAAACTCGATGATCTTCACTAGGGGCTCCCAAACCCATGAACGAACACAAGTCCTCAATCGATGAGACACGGATTGCGGAGGCACGTTCCAGCATTCACTTAAATCGCTACCTGTCCGATGCTCGATAGCGCAAATCGGAGCATCAAATTTCTTAACGACTCCCAACGCAAAACAGAGAGTCGATATACCTATCTATCGGACGCGGAGCCCACGCCGCACCGGTCAGAAGCGTTTGACCGGGTTCCAAGGATTTCTTGGAGATGTGAATCGATCCACAAAGTCGCACTGTCCGGCTGAAACGAGCTAATAAAATATATATGCTCAAATTGTCGATCTCTCATGGTTCCAGGCACTCACCGTGTTCGCCACCACCGATCCCACCATGACACAGAGCTCCAGCGGAGGGAAGCGAAAGCCGAACCATTGATGGATCCTCAACAAATGGAGGATGATCTTCCCAAAAAGGTGCGTGCTTTCGAAGTTCTGTCCCGCTCATTACCGGTGGAAATGCAGCACATCAACAAACTTGCTTCAGCTGCACAAAATAATGTACCGGCTAACGAGTCTGATAAGGAGCACATTCGAGGAGAGACGAGCACGAAAAAAAAAAACAGAAATCAAAGCAAGCGGAAATCCCCGGCTTTAGATCATGGTCGGGGCTTGTTTTACAAGCACTGTGCACGACGCTTCTCTTGATGAACGAGCTCTTCGCGGGACATGCTTTTAGTGCGCGGCTCGCAGAAAGTTGATAAGTGAAATAAATTGCTTGTTTACACTGAGAATGAAATTGCTCCGCTGACAAATGCCACTTTGGTACTATACGTAGCCCTCAGACCTCAGACATTTCGAGAACTGGCCGAGGTCATCTTCTGGAGAATGAAACTCGACTCTATTCTGGAAAATTAGGATCCTTCACCACACCGGAAAGGCTTCCAGGGGATGAGACTCGTCAGTCGCTGATCTCGCTCTCCTAAATTCTCATCCTAACCTCTTGCTATTCCTTCAACGAGTTCGCCGGGTCGGGGGACGATCAATAATTCTCTTTGTTTCCATGTGAAGCTCTATGTGTGCGCTTTGACTCCTTGATACTTGCGGACTAGCGATGAGAAGTCGAATTGATGATGACCCAGAGAGCTACTTATCGTGCAAGGGCTATGTAACTGAATGACGATCGTAATTTATTCATAGGACACGTTCAATCTCACCGACGGCGGTCGAAGTCACGAGAAGGTTCCTCAAGTGGTGAATATGGCTCCGTATCCACCGACGGGCTCAGCTCTCCCCGATTTGAAGGAATTCAATCACACGATTCAGAACCAAACCATTTTATTCGGAACACCGATCTCGAATGTGCACGCGGTAAGAATCCAGAATACGATTTCCTCCGTTGCGCTCAAGGTCACCGAGACGGAATAAGGCGTTTCCGGCTCTGAAAAATCCGATCCAAATGCATTTCCTATGCACTATCCGTTGTCTGAATACGAGTCTTTCGGATTCCAAGATGTCATCTGCATCTCAGAATGCGCCGCGAACAACTGCTTTGATGTCGGGGCCCGAGCCGGAGGTCATGCTTCCGGCACGGAGCTTCCATCGGGTTTCGTAACGTGCTTTTGTCGCTCGTCCACAGGTTGCCTACTGCCACGACGAGTCAACAGACCACGAACATGCGGGAGGAGTGACCGTCGCATCGATACGGTGGGAGTTTGTCTCTGTCCCCTTCATGTTCACCGCGTTCGTGATATTGGCAGGCCTCACAAAAATAAGTGAGTACACAGTTCCTTCCACTTTAGGCCCGAGCTGGCCTAGCATCTCGCAGTTTCGCGCAGGAGCTCATTCAGGCTCGTTTTGGTCATTGTACATAAACGTTTATTCCTCCCTCTCGGTCTGGTACATTCTGACGCCTGACGACGGAGTCCGCTCCGTTCGAAGGCACTGAATGGACGTAGTGTCTCCCACAAACGGGTTTATTTTCTTTTAATAACGGGTATAACGGAATGCTCGTTGCTCCCTCGCTGCATCAGAGGCCCGATATCTCGGAGCGGAGGCAAACAAGCAATGAGGGAGCTGCTGATCTCGTCTCGACCACATTTCGCCCTTGGTGGGGCAGTGACCTCGGGGAGAACTTCCTGTCGGTATTCTTGAGACATTGCGTGGAGACTCGCGTGTCAATCTTGGGCTAAGATCCGGAGATACGAGGGTGACGTTGAGAAACTTCTGAAGAAACCCTCCGCTGAGCAAGAAGCCGCATTCGAGAACTCGAGCCATCGGATTGGCGGCTCTCCATTCGCTCGCTTCATCCTAAAGCTCCGTGGCATCCCTTCCCGCCCCGGTCTCGCTCCCCTATGTCGGAGAGAACCTCAGACTACCCCATCAGGAACGATCCCCAAAAGCGTGGATGGTAAAAAAATCTCTCCGGTTTCCGGGGAAACTCCCATGGCCCAGCTCCATCGCGTTCCTCTCGCGGCTCGCGTAATATGTAAGACTCGAATGGTCCGGCACAACAAAGGGTCAAAGGCTCTCGTCCGGAACGACGTCTCGACGGCAGATCGGAACCGTGATCTTTTTCGGAGGAAGTACTCTGCTGCCGCTCTTTATTCGCCGTCTCTTGGGGAACCGATGGAATCCAGGGGAATTCACTTACGAGTATCCATAGATGAGATACTCCACACTCTACTTCCACAATTTCCCCGTCGATCCACCACCCGATACGACCTGATCAGAATTTCTTCCCGGCGAGGTGCTATCAGGACTTTTCAGTTGTTTATCTGTCGTCCGATCCGCCGTATCGATCATGCCGGCAGGATTGTACAGTTTGACGGCTCGGAGCCGTTGGAATCGAGTCTGAGCATCTCACTCTGGCTGATGAGCGTTGTCAACGCGTTGGGCTCACTCGGACTCCTCCGGGCGACTCCGCCCGCGAAGTCCGAGACGTCACGCTCGACCAATCTCCCCGCTCTCGCAACTCTATCTCACCACTCGCAGCGGATAGCCGACACTCTGCGAAGCCTCCGAAACCGTATGCAAATAGTACTTCATATTGTTTACACGAGCTGACTCGGTGCGCTCCGCTATTCCCCAATGCCTGTGCTTTTAGCACCACTGAGGCCGCTTTCCCGTCGACCGGGTCGTCTAGCGACGGTACATACGAGCAATCGTTCTTCATTCCGAGAGGAAATATTACGGAGACCGATTTTCGCAATCGAGACGTTTCGAGCCCACGTCGCGGCGTCTGCTCTCTTGATGGATTGGTCTTGAATATCTTGCCATTCACGGCGGAGGAGGGGACCGCGGGGCGGGGTTCACATCTCCTTATCTCGGCAAGAGTGGAGAACTAGTCCACGAGCAGACTTCGAGCCTTCGAAGCCCTTCGATCTCCCCGCGTTTAATTATGAGAAGAGGCGTAAGCCGGATGTGCTGACTCAACATGAGAGCATTCCTCTGAGATGTTTCCGCGCGATAACTTCCGAGCCGGAATCCGACCCGGAGGCCAAACCCACATGGACGGGAACACTGCCTGAGAGTTCAGTATCCGACTCCAAACCCTCGACGGAGCCGGCTCCTCGCCGCGCTTCGGATCATTCATAGGTTCCTCGGGCCGCGATGAATCCAATCACTTTGGGCAGAAACTCTGTTTACCGGCAGGATTAGGGTTCCCGAGTATCCGCCCTTTTTCTCTGTCTCCCAAGCCGAGGTTGTATATGAGCGTGGAAAAGGAGAAGAAAAAGTTCCGTCTGAGCCCTTCACTGAGACACCCAATGATTCAATCGCCTCGTTTGGTATACATGTTAGCGGTTTGCGGACAGAGCGTCGACGGCATTCAACGCTTCGTTGGTGCTCAGCAGCAATAATGAGGAAGGTCTCGTTAGGAGGGGAAGAGGCCCTCTGGCGGATTCGCTTCTGCGTGATTAGCAGATTAACAGCTTTCGCTTGAAATCGAGTGAACACACCATTTGACACATAGTTCTCCATTCATCGAGCGAGCGCTCTAGGTACTCGACATTCTCCTGACTCGGAAACCTATAGGAGACGTCACGTTCGACTTGTTTATCGATATCAGGCTTCGGCCACCGGGTCATGGTCACCGTCAAGTCCTAACTGGAAGCAGTCCACCTGCCCCATCGCAATAATGGAGTGCCTATTCTCGGTATGAACTCTCCGGCGAAAGTTCATCCGGAAATTATCCCGCAATGAATTGGATGATCGAATGATAGAGCTCGTAAAATGTCTAACGAGTCACTCGTCCGCTATGAGAGCTGAATTCTCCTTATCTTCCCTCGGACAGAAGCCAGGTCCCGGGAGGGCTCTATGCCGCTCTAATATCCGAACGGATAAAACGCGATGCACTCATGAAATTATTCTCGTGTTTCTCGTTATTCGTACGTATACTGCGAAAAAAGTCCAGGGACCATGCTGTCCCTGGAGCGTCCGCCGTGGTCTCTGAGCGAGCAACTCTTTCATACGAATTCGGTCGATGGGATTCGTGGGAGTACCTACTCGAGGAGACAGATAGAGGACGCTCTTCGCATCCGGAGCCGTCATTGCATGTAACGCAACGTCGTTCGAGGGCTGCATGTCTTTCTGGTTCTGCTTGTCGACGCCTAGGTTCGATCACATCTGTGAACACGATCGGTCAGTCCCGCCACGAGAAGGGAGTGACTCATTGGGAGCTGTCGTAATTCATTCCGCTTTTACGACCGGTATCAGTTGTCGTGGATGGAGCGTTGTAAGCTTTGTTCATATAAGGATGAATAGTATGTATTTATGGATTCATGCGTCAGTAAACCACCAGGGCGGCCGAGAGACGTCAATGATAGACAGTGGATTGACAATACGCGTTCTTGGTTCCGGTGACCGATCCGATTGCCCGGGATCCCGACAGATCTCGGGATTGCGATCTTTCACAGAAGCGTCGTCAATGAGCTCGGTCTCGAATCCGTATCAAATTAATTTCCTTCATCCCGGAATCCGCGCTTCCGTCCGGATCCGTCTCACATATTTTCCGAAGATCCGAATTCGTTCCGATCTCTTCGATATTATGAACTGGAGACTCAGACGCTCGCTCTGATTTTCGCGCTCAGCCCGAGGGCATCGATTTCCAGATATTTATGGTCGCAGCCTCGCCTCTCATCGAATGCAATCTTGCGAAGGATTCTAATCACGGTCCGAGGCTTCCCAGCTGTAAGGCGGAAGCTGACGATATGACTGGTGAAGGGTCGGCCGTCTCGATCGTGGCGCCTTGAATCGATCGAGAAGCTCAAAGCCATTGGCCAACTCTCCGGAGAAGGGAATCTCTTCTGTTTTTAGCTAATCCTCGGGAGTCGGCTGTTGGCGTCTCACCAAGGCTTATCCGAATCGCGCGCGAGACTTGGCTCGGACTCCGGTTGCCTAGGGCTCGAGTGTTGCAGAAAGGCGAAGTGAATTGTATCCAAGCGAGACGCTACTCTCAGAGGACGATTGCGGCCGGGGCGCCCTATGTCTGACGCGGGAGCGGGTTCGGGGACGTGATACATGGTCGTCCGTCGCCAAGGAAGACGAACGACCGAGTTCTTGTCTCTAAGTTATTGCTCTTCATCTCATGAAAATCACGGAGCTGATATTTCACTTGATTCTTTGCAGTGTTCCATCACGCGAATTTTCTGTCATCGATAGTCCCCGAGTCTTGGTAAGGAGCTCTCATGTGCATTCATGCAAACGCATCCCCATAGACGTTTAGTCGAAGATGCGATTCTTATTTCAACTCCGGAGGCACTCGGAAGAGTTATGTGGCCCATTGGGAAATCGTGGGAACACGTCTGCCGTCACACTTATTCCGGCGTCTTCTCTATTCCAGTATGCTCATATTGTTAGGAACTGTCGTAGGAGGCATCGCACAGTAAGTGGTACAAAAGAACGGAGAGGATAATCCTTCTCGAGGAATCGCGAGCACGACTTCTCGCTTGCAGGATTTCTAAAGTCGCCTGATTTTTCCAGCGTTACGAATCATGACACACTACCGGCCTTCTCACCGGATATTTTTTCCTCTACTTACTGCCACCGTGAGTAAATTCAAACGACTCACTCGGTATGGCTTCCGGCCACTCGAGCTACGAGAAAGTCTCTCCAAACTCCTCCTTCGTCATACTATTCCCGAATAGTCGCGGTTCCTAGCTGATTCGATTGAGATCTTGGTCACTGAGCGCCGCTCGTGCAGTATTCAATGCTGCCCCACCGATGTTTCACCACCAGACCTTCGCCGCACCGATGCTCCTGGGTGTAGAGTATGAGCAAGTCTCGGAGATGAACTTGCAACTCGAAAGGCGTCGAGAGAAGCTGGTAACGAGGTTATGAGCGCCGAGCTAATGCAATAATAGCGCGAACGAACAAAGCTTCTGATCGTCTTCGCGCACAAACGTCGCGCCTTCCTGTGGACTACTCCTAGCACACGGTACCGCGCCGCTTCTCCGATAGATCCCAGATCAGTACCCCGGGTCTCGCCCGGAGCATTTTCTTCAGAATCGTCCGGAAAACTCAGCAATACCCTCTCTTTGAGGGATACATGTGCGTCATTGGCGCTCTCTGATCACGAATTTATTGCTACTGGGCTCTCCTGGAATGAATGACCTCGGTTCCGGCGGGAATTAGCGGACCCACATAGCGACCCCGTAGAGGAAGAATTCGCGGGGACAAGAGCCGCGGACCCGATGTATCGAGTCACACGGTTGGGAGTATGTAGAAGACATCTAGACGGAAAACAACGAGCACCGGAAACCATGTGGAAAAATCCGTGCTCGGGGGTCCTTGTCTATCTGTGGAGGCTGAAAAACGTCCTCCCTCGGGGCTCGAAGCCGAACTGGGTCCCGGAATAATTTTTTCTGTCGTTTCTCCCTTTCAGAATAGTTCTGGAATCTTCGTACTCGCTGCATGACAGCTCGTTCTTCTCGAACATAGGGACAATCCTTCTTTACGCTGGCGTGGTAAGACATTTTGAAAATCCAAAATTTCCCTGCTGGTCTTGGTCGGCCTTGTATTCCTGCGTGGAGTCTCGCGCTGCGAGCGAGAATCCTTGCTGGGAAAACTCGCGCGTGCTTCATCGTTCCCTTCAGCAGCTCATGAATTAAACCGGCCATATCCGTTGGTTAAGTAAATGCTAACGACATACTTTGCTCAGCTCGGAGGAGTTTGAGATATTGCCGGGTCTCGCCACCGCTGTGGGATTTTGACGAACGTCAGCTCCCAGCGCAATTTCTTACCTGAGGAGAAGGTTCGATTATCTACTCTATCGCTACGTCGACTAGATTCCGGCTGTACGATCGAGACCGAGTACTCTCGGACTAGAAGACCGCCCACGATTTGCCCACGTCATACCTTGTGGGTTCCCCAGGTCCGGCGGACAATAATTCTACGAGAGCTGATTCCATTCTTCGATGCTGGAGTGTAAGATTGACACTCTGTTTTTGAAGTTTGACCCATCTCCGACGGCGATCAGGTCAGCTCGGTAGTTCTTCCTCTCGAGAATCTCCCGAATCCTATCGAGGTCGGTCGGCTCTGCGGGGTCACGCGTCGTCATCACGCGTCGGCTGACTCAGTTCGAACGTCGGGAAGGGTACGGCACTGTCGACGGCCTCATCCGTGCGCATGGGATCGTGGGAATAATTTCAAGCATCCGAGACTCGTTCAAGGAAGATGTTCCTCGATCTTTCTCTTTCCGGTTGATTTCAACATCAATCCACTTTTTCCACTCAGCCGTTGTTCGGCTTCAAGGCCGTTCCCGAAAAAGAAGCTTCGTGACGAGGAGAGAACTTCGCCGACCAAAAACAGGAACGAGAAAACGAGGAAACTGAAGCATTCGTGATTGCTAAAGGTTTCAGCCCCGTTCCTGACGAGGGACGAGAAATCGAAAAGCCTCGATTCTTCGACCGAGGAACGTATTTCGATGGAGATTCATCTCGAAGGGTGTGTAGCGAGATGAGAAAATGCGCTGGAGCTCCGTTTCCGTCTCCGCCATGTCGCGGATCATATCGAAAATGAGCGAGGGATGCGCCAGATGCTCCATTCGAGTCTGCATTCGGAAGACTATTCCCTCAAGATCCCTCGATTGTGCAAGAGTTTGTGTTCGTGAAGCTCGAAATTGCTTTGCTTTACAGCTAGGCGGACAGCTTTTGTTTTGATGTCGGCAGATCGAAGCAGCAGAATCGATTGTTTCGAAACTTGTTGGCTCATTTTTGTCTCGAGTTCCCGACTCTCACGGCCCGCAGGGACGTCCCTTCCTCCGGAGTCATTCACCCTTCGAAGGTTTCAAGACCTCCTACCAGACGCTTCCGCCCCGCGACTTTGTTTCCGAGTGGTGAATCACCTAATGTTCCGACCCATCTTTTCCAGGGAACCATAATAAACGTCTTCATGATCGGTCCTTCTCTATACGTTCTCGGTCGGATGGACTGGCTCGGTGGAGTCCAGCTGGAGCTGCTCGAGTGTTTGGTGTTCTCATCTTTAATTTCGGCCGTTGATCCTGTCGCCGTCTTAGCAATTTTCCAAGAAGTAGGCGTCAACAAGGTTCTGTACTTTCTCGTGTTCGGAGAGAGTTTGCTCAACGGTAAAGTCACCCTCGAACCACGGGACGGGACAACAGAAATTTCAATCATCGACTACTCGAGGAACTCCGTCCGAGTTCGGTGCGGGGAAGGGGAAAGGCAGGCAGGCGCGAACCAAGAGGACGGATACAGAAATGGGCAAACAGTCGTAGCGAAATTTGTTCAGAGACGAACTTCGATCTATATAAGTATTTGCTCTCTCCGTACCCCGGTTCGCCCTCTCGGGATCCGTCCATTCTCGTCGATGTATTCAGATCGAATGTACCCGGGGCTGCGACTTCGACGAAGGGCGGTTGCAATTTTCTTATCGCCCTATTGTTCGACGCGCGAAATGTCTGCTGGTGGGGAAAACGTCGTAGCCGTTGTCGGCACAACTAGCTGTCACGTGCTCTCTTCTCGAATTTCAGATGCTGTGACAGTCGTAGTGTACAACATGATGGTGTCTTTCCATGGGAGCGAAGTGACCCTGCAAGCCGTGAGTAACTCAGTTTGCATAGACAGAAGCATCCCGGGTGCGAATAGAATAGGGGAGATGCTGCCCATGGAGAGCAATCTCTTCTTCCATCCAATTAAGTTCCCGAATTTTCGCAGACATGAATTGCCTTCCTGAGTGATTCCTCTTTGTCTTGCAGCTGTTGACAGGTGTTGCATCGTTTTTGTCGGTGTCCTGTGGCGCTGTGGCAATCGGATGTATTTTTGGCTGCATAACAGCTATAGTAACGAAATACACGAACGAAGTCCGGGTTGTAGAACCTTTAGCAGTTATCGGAATAGCCTACATGGCCTATCTGACCGCAGAGCTGGTGCACTTTTCCGGAATTATCAGCATCATCTGCTGCGGTCTCATGCAAGTTCAGTACGCCATGAATAACATATCGCAGAAAAGCTACACAACCGTGAAATACTTCACGAAAATGATGAGGTGAGTTGGAGAATCTGCACTTTGGAAGGTTTCCGCTCCATGAGCTCGAGTGAGCTCAGATAGGCTGGGAAATGTACCCACCGGGCTCCTTCAGACATTTACGTACAGCCCATTGGCGTATACCTCTGGGAAAGTCTGTTTGGGTAACGCCCTCCATCAAGACAAGGCACGGCGAGATAAAAATGTTACTGCGTTGTAATTACATACCCCTTGGTTGGTCCACCGAAATGGTTCGCAAATCGTTGATTCCGGCCGTCGCGAGGCAATGCCCAACGACAGTGGGTTTTGCAACCTCGGTCCCGATTCGTCCTTCGCCCTCGACTACGTAGATATAGGGAGGCGAAGGGTATGAGCATCCAGAGTGCAGCTCCCGAAAATTTCCTATTCAAGAGCTTTTCCCGCATCCAAGCATCGCCGTCAGCGATACTTGTCCTTCGAACTATCGAGTGTCACTTTTTATCGCTCGCCCCCAAGAGCGATAAGAATTCCCTCGATCGAGCCTTTTGTTTCTCTCAATTTACAAGAGGGCATATTCAGGGAATCGCAAGTGGGCTCAGCGTTCCATTATGAGAAGGTCAACGCATTAGCGTTTGACGCCCGTCAGATGGAGCGCCTATCGAGTGCAGCCGATTTCGAAACAAGAGCGCCGGATTTAGTCTTCTCGGATGCTTGTGAGTCGCGGAGGACCCGGGTAATATCGACAATATGAGAGCGCTGAATGGCAATCCATTCGCAGGACTAGTCAGCTCTCGGCCAGAATATTTCACAACGACTCCTTTGGGAGATCGCAGATTACCGGTATGATGAGTCATCAGTCATCACCGATACCTTTGCACGAGGGTTTGATTTCGCTTTGGATGCTTGCAACGGCATCTCCCGGAGCTCGCTTATTCAAAGTTGTACCGATAAGAAAGGGAAAGGCGCGCGCTGGAGACTCGCACGGGTTTTAATGATGTGGTCGATACAATCAAGCAGAATCAGCGGAAAACTTCTGGTCGTGGCAAGAATACGCTTTCGAGAATCGCATGTACCCTTCGAGGCGCCGGGCGGTCCGGGCTCACTTCGAATGAGTAAAAGGACTCGCTGATAGGGAGAACTCCCCGGCTGCGCTCTGGCGAACTTCTGGAGCGTGCCTCGCCGGCTCGATGACAGTCCGAGTTAGAGCCGGATTCCTGATCCTCACACCGGGAAAATCCACCGTACCCTAGAGTTTAAGCCTGGACGCGTTTTGCAAAACAGGGGAGATGAACGTTTCGAAAACGGAGGCAGAACGCCTCCGTGACGTAGCTGATGCGATCTCGCAGGTGATAAACTCGATGCGAGAGAACGACGGAGGAGAATCTTATTACTGCAAATATGTCCAGACGCGTTTACTTTCGTCCTGCCGGCCGACACGGGACGGGAGTGCGGCCGTCAGTGGAGCTGTCTCTCTGATACAATTATGCTGTCCACCTGTTCGAAATTCGCACCTCGGCCGACTCGTAGAGGAAACGCTCCGGTATTATCTCTTGCTCCCTCGGTGCCTCGCGAAACACGGTCCGAACCTCCTCCTAGCCATCTTGTCTTGTCATCGGAGACATGGTTTCGAAGTAGTGATCGAAAATTCCGAGTTTGCGTTCGTCCCTGCACGGCTGCGCTCGATGGTTCCAGAGTTCTCATAGACGACATCTTGAGTTATGAGGCTGGCTCCGTCTCGCTGTCTGTCGAATCTCTTGGAGAACTCTGGGCGTGGAATGCACTCTCGTCCATCTCGGCTCCAGAAACTCGAGCTCCAGAGATGTGCTGCGGGTCAAAAATTCAGTTTTCTGCTGTTCGACTCAACCTCATGTCAAACCAGCATGCGGGTTAACGCAGGGGCACAGAATCGGAATGAGTCGCGGTTCCCGAAGCTCCAGAATTCGATCGAGTCCCCGGATGATAAGCGAAACTTCCTTCCTTTGATGCGCGGCTCGGATAGAAATCGCCGAATCGCTATATACCGAATCTCGAATACAGATGAGCTCACAGACTCTGGAAGTCTATTGCTGACCGGACGGCGAGTCCTATTCTTGGGGAAGGGGGGAGTTCGTAACTTTCGAGACGAGAAATCTGATGATCTTGAGCAGCGTTTGAGAGTGTTTTCACGCTCTGCGCTGCGGTCAGTAGACCCCAGCGGAGCAGCATCATGCGGATGCCTAAGCATCGAAAGCGGCGATCTACCTACACGCATCGTTTCCGGAGATGCACCAAGAGACCACGGGTAGGTGCTCGGACAAATCATTGCCGGGAGCAGCAAAGTTGCTAGCCACCTGACGGAAGTCCAGGCGGGAATTCCCTGGAAAACTCGGACGGAAATTACCCTGGAAACTTCGGCTGGAACCCTGTAGGGGAGCCGAACTGAAAACCCGTCGGCAGCCGCAGTGAGGATCTCCGCGGGGAAGATATCCTGTTCAGGGACCCCGAATTGGCATAGCGAAATCGGGTGGCGCCATTTAATGGAATTAATTCACCGGATGAAAGCTGCTCTCTTGAGGCGCGGGTCCCTCGTACGGAGCAGTCCATGTGTCGAATCGGCTCTTGAAGCGATTCGGGGGCCAATGGGCTGGAACGAAATAATAATTAATTTGAATACATATAAATAATTCATACATAAATATATATAAGTAACGAAATAATAACGGTAACCGACGCTTATGGGAGAGGGCGGAGAGTCTCATACGGATCGGATCTTTTAGAAATCACCTGAGTTGCGGTGATGCTCTCCTGATTCTCTCCTTGGAAACTGAGCTCGTTCCTCTAATCCACAGCGCTGTGTGTGATACAATCATCTTTATTTTCCTCGGGATGGTCCTCGTCAACAAAAAGCCCGATTTTCGAACGGAGTTTATTGCATGGACAACTTTTCTTTGCCTCGTGTTCCGCTTCATCTCGGTCTTTGGACTGACGTATTGCGTCAATAGAGCTGGACGCCTCATCAAAATCAACGTCGAAGAACAGTTCATTATGGCCTACGGCGGACTGCGGGGAGCCGTTTCCTTCTCTCTCGTCATCATGCTTTCGCCCTGTAAATTTCCTCATTACCACACTTTCATCACGGCGACTCTCTTCATCATCATCTTTACCGTTTTCATTCAGGTCTGTTGAATCCATCCAACGGAGTTCGTTGCCCAATGGGAAATCTACAAGCTCGTTTCCGTATTCTGTAGTTGTTCATCTTCTCTTCGGATATCGATCAGGAAGATTAATTAGAGTGCATGCTCGAACTTGAGGACCGAAAACCCCAACGAGTCGTTGCAGGGTGCATCTGTGAAGCCATTGGTAACTCTTCTGAAGATTCGTCGACATCAAAGCCACGACGATTCATTGTTCACTGAGATCAACAAAAAATTAGTCGACAATATCATGCTGGGGATCGAGGAAGTCACAGGGAGCCGAGGAGGTTTGTCCGGGAAACTACACAGATGTACATACTCCTTCGCATTTGCGAGCTCCTCCAAACAATCGTCATCCATCACCGTTGATGTTGCCCATTTAGATGGAACCGCTGCCGAAGCAAATTGAGCCGTATATTTGCTGTTTTCCAGGCAACTACTGGAAAGGCGTCCTCGCGAACCTCGACGAGAAGTACCTGAAGCCATTGCTGGTCCGTGACAACGGCCAAAACAGCCTGACACGGATATATACCAAGGTCGTTCTGGCGTGAGTAAACGACGGAGTATTCGTTCGACCTTTCTCATCCAAAGCGCTGCCCACCGCGGAACTCTTTGCGCAAGCACAGATTATCTCTTGATGGCTAGTTTCGCTCGGGGAGAAGCATTCGCCCACTGTATTGCAGACACATCCTCATTAAATATTTCCCAGCCCCTAGAATTCCCAGAGTCTCCTCATATCCGTGTTTTTATCGCTCAGTGATCATTACGCTCATCTTTACGGACCAGCAACGGCCCTTGAGGAAAAACTACCGCTGGATGTTCCGCGGTCTCTACATCAGGGGGTGCTCTCGTCCGACGACCCGGTCCTGGACGACCAAGATCAAGATGTTAGTCGAGTGATGATTTTCGGAGTTCTTCACGCAATGTCGAATTGGAGAATGACCGGGCCGACTCGGCTCACGGGAGCTACGAGTTTCGAACTTATTTTGCAGACATCTTCAGATGAGCACGAAGAGCAGGTGCTTCTGCGACGTGGCAGTCGCAAGAAATCTGTCACCGTAGCCGCTCAAACCAACGGTGAGCGTTCAATACGACGGAAGAGGGGTCGAGGTGGGGTCAAATTATTCCTCTCAATCTATTTTCGTTCTTCTCCGTCCGTATTCCTTCTTATCTCACTCGTCACTGACCTCGACGGTGTTCATTCCACTGAAACCCCAACAACTCCGCCTTGGGCAAGCAGGGTCTTGTAATGAGCTTCACAGAGGAACATCCTTTCTACTGCAGAGCCGGCGTAGATATGAGAGTTTTCGTAGAGTAGTGACATCATGCTGGTCAAGGTGGCTTTTTGTCGAGCTCCTCTTCGTCTGGTCTTCCAACTCGGAAGCTTCTGTCCTTTGTGTTCCGTTCGAGTGTTTGTAGGCAAAGTCACCGCCTAGCTATTCTCTCGATGTATAATTCAATGTCTAACATTCTGCTGTACGCTATCCCCCGTCGCAGTCTCGCCAAAACGTGTACGCTTCTCTCGATTCGGTGAGTACCCATCCGATGTGTAAGGCGCGCATCTCAACACTAAAATCACAAAGAAGCCAAGACCATTAGGAAATGGAAGTTGGCCGTAAAAGTCAATCGTTACGATCACTATACAGCCCGGCGAAAGCACGCTGGCCGCTTTCGTGACCGAGCTCCTCAGGGGATGAGCGAACGGTCACGGAGCATCGATGAGAGCTCGATTGTACTCCCCGGCGCTGGGGTGTATGTGTAGGTTCCTGTCACACTTTTCCAAGGGGTTCGCTGCCTTCTAGTTTCTCGATGGATCCTCCGCCCCACCTTAATACTGTTGCCCGGAATGGATTCAATGCGAACGACCGAAAGTAGAACCCAACCACCCTTCGACGGTGCTAATCCAGCAAACACAGCTCAAAACAGATGCGGAGCGGCGGCGCACCTGGAAAGAACACGTGCACGTGCATGGACGGAATTCAGTCGCTCCAATGGAGTTCCTCCGAATCATTTGCCCGATGCCTGGTCGAGCCCCATCTTTCGCGGAGCCATTTGGTGGAACCTCGTCTTGAGAAGTTTCACCTGCTGAGAGATCGCGCTCCGCTCAAAAATAGGAATAGCGAAAGTTCATGTCCGGATGAGGATCTGGGAGCAATATTTGAAAGAAAAAATAAGTTTTGCTTCAGCAGTCTACCAGTGTAGGGCCTGGGAGGGGCTAGGAGAAGGCCAAGGTTACATCGTTGTATCCCGAGCTGAGCCACACGGCCAAACTTCAAGTTGCCGGGCCATGGCTCGGGATATAGCTTCCGTGGACGTATCGGGACCACGAACAGGCCAACCCAGATCGCAGCAGGGATCACGCATATTTCCTACAGCCCCCTTCCCCAACTAGACAAGCCCCTCTCTCTCTGAGAACAGTCTCGGAGGAGTTACGCGAGAAGCTCCGTCTGCCCGACACGCTGCAAACGAGCTGACCGCTCGACTCCCGTCATGTTCCCATACGGGAATCACTCGACAATGCTACGGGTCGATGTGTGTGGGCGTCTGATGTCTGCTTGAAGCTCCTCCTTTGTACTAACTCCAATGATGTCTGCCTCCGGAAGAAAAGCCAATATCGATCCCCATGTCCCGAGCAAATCTAATCGAATGATTTTTCTTTTTCTTCGAACGCATCCCTCTTCGCGCTAACAGTGCTGATGCCACGACTGACAATGAGTTGCAATGACGGTAAGTTCGGAGCTAGTCGTTTCCATGGTCCTCGGAAGCTCTACGATTTTCTTCGAGGAATTTCGAGCCTATAATTCTTCTGTTCGGTCGGAGGAAATCTACAATGACCGAAGAAGAGCAAAGCTCGAATGACTCGAATCCGCCTTGCTCCTCGCGTTTGCGAAATATTCCCACCTCTGAAAAAATACTGCTAGGGGTAAACTTTACGGAAACGAAAGGAGCTGCGGCTTCTCTAGAATTCCCCCTTGATCCTTGTCCCGGATCAGCCATGTTCCAAGTATCGAAGTTTATTGATCCTGATTGATTCGCCGTCGTCTCGCATTGAGCTTTGAACAGAAGAGCATTTCCCTGGTCCGATCTGGATCTTTTGTGGTGACCTGTGTATCTACAAACGCTAGCTGGTGACGATAGAGTTTTTCTGCCCCAGCCTTGCATTCATTTGCGATCGCATAGTTTCTAGCCAGTGGGGGATTAGGCGGCGTGAGCGAAATCCTTCTCAACTTCCTTATTTCATTTTCGTGCCCGGCTAGGCTTCAGCTGTCGGGCAAATCCCCTAGCGAGCTCAACTCAACTCTTAATTGATTGAGGGAGGCCGAGGCGTCCTCAACGCATGTTGGCCGTCTTGTCTCTCAGCCAGATCTCTCCTTAGTCTGAGCGAGGCCATTGCCGTCCACGAGAACGCAAACCGTACGAGCCTCGCATCGTGCTCGTCAGAACACGGAAAAAAGTTATCCCGACCGAATCCGAAACCCAATGTGCACATTGAGCGAGCGGCTCTTGCGACTCGCTACTAGAAACTCATTTAAGAGCGCAAGGACGACGACTTTCAGCGGAACAATTGCGAGCAACGTCGCGAAGCGTGGATTCCGAGGCTTCGAACAACAACCAGTCCGGGCTGCACAGCCCGGGAGCGAATATGTCCACGATCGACAAGAGGCGATACACGGTGGGAATGTGGAAGAAAGCAGCTGCGAGGGCTTCATCCTTGGATTCGAGAACAGACCCTACCAAACTGCTACTCAGAGCACTCAATGAAAACCCATATCACAAGGTGAGTTGTTGCAATCGCATCTGTGGACGAAGCTCGAGCCCGAGGGCTAAGGCAGAGTTCTCAGCTGATTATTCCTGCGCCCGGGTTCAGTGGAGCAATACGACAGAAAGTTCTCAAGGGATCGTTCCAATAGATTCGCCAGCATCGTGGGCCCTATATTCGGTTGAGTTTCTTACGAGCTTGTTTACGAACGCACCGGATGCTTCGCTATTCTGTAGGTTTGAGTTTTTGCTCGAGTCTCGCCCCTCAAGAGACTCAAAACACTCGAGTTCGTTTGCATTCGTATCGCTTTGTTGCTGTTTCGTGTCGACAAGGAATGAGACTTCGTGAAATATTGACGGATCGTATGGAAGGGCCACCTGAGACGACCTAAGTGGTTACCCCCGTGCAATGTACCTGTAGGACGACTTCGCTACCTCTGGACTCTCCGTGCAAACAGCTCGGTCGATGTGCCACAATGCCCGAATATTGTGTATCTCTATTGATTTCGGGTCGATTCCACACGAACGGCCGATCAGAACGGCCGAACAGAGGTCCTCGCTGGGGGCGCGACCCAATTTCTCGAAAGAAGAAATTCTATTGCTGCCTCTATTACGGCCCAGCATGCATATCCGAGCGAAGTTCATCGACAAAAATGAGGATCCCTGCGACAAATAGAGAAACAGATTGAGAAAGCGGGAGATGAATGGAGACTTGTCGCTCGGGACTCGTTTCGATTCTGGAACGTGCCGGAAGAGCCGGGACGATAATAATCATTTATTCCTCAACTGATTCCATGCCAAGTCTTTCGGTGTCCCCTAGCTCTTCAGGTCCAAATAGGAACATCATATCGAGAGACACGCCTTTCGATGCGTGGACATTCCTTCGCGTCTCTAGACGTCTCTGCGGATGGATTATTATTAGAGGAGGACTGAGTAATCGATCCGTCTCTCCCTTCCAGTTCCACCAACGCTACAATCCCAATCTGGTCGACGACGATAACCAGGAGATAGCCGCGCATCTTCGAGCTCGGAGACTCAGAGCGCGGCGTTTGACGATGTACACTCTCGCTGGGGACGTCCCCTCGGAGACCGATCAGACCGATCAGGATTCGGTTCACGGCAGTTCCAATTTGCACCCCACACAAGGAAACACTACCGACACCGAGTCCGACACCGAAATCAAAGGTAATCAACATTCAGACCAGCTTCCGCGCACCGCTCGAGAGACCTCTTTCCTAATCAGTTGAGCTTCCGAGGTCCTGGGTGAGAGAAGTTCGGACTGTCTGACATTCGAATTTCTCTCCTTCGCACTCGCGCGTCAGAAGTTCGCGGACGGCTCGCTCAGTACGCTCCGGGGATCAGAGAGAAAGCGAACAAGTTATTAAAGGAGTTCATGCATAAAAACCAGAACCGCATAAACGAACGTCATCGGTGGTCACGCGGAGCGCCGGAGTTCTCTTGCAGAGAGTGAATTTCCAAGCCTCCGCCTCTTTTCATCGCGCCCGAGACTGCGCGTCTCCTGTCCGTCTCAGCTTCCGCTGAGCCGGCGATGATCTAAGTTTTGGAGCTGCATCGTCCGGAGGAACGAGACAGAAGGAAGAGCACGATCTGGTTTTTGGAGCGACTCCTCGTCCGGGAAGAAGAGACTTCATCCGTGATAGAATCCAATGGTCGACTTTCGAACTTGTTCCTTCCGGCGTTCATTCCCGCGGCGAAAGTCTCTGATGGCGGCTCCGCCTGAGGCCTCATGGAGAATCATTTGTTCTCCTTCCGTCCGAGTTCCGGCGAGCTGGAGTCTAAGAGCAGAACTTCAAGAACCTGCAGCGGATCTCTATGTCAAAGTACCTCTTTAGGAATCCTCTCCGTTCGTTCCGCCTACTCGTACGCGTGAGAATCCGAGTAGGAGACTCATGCTATCCGAAAACCGGAACAAACGAAATCTCTCGGTCAGGGTCAGACATGTCATTCCGATCGATCGACGACTCGGGTCCAATCAGCATCGATAAGAGGAATTGATGACTTCTTTCGCCCACATTCACAGGTCGCCGAAGGCCAAATTCCCAGGGGGAGCGACGTCGGTCACTTAGACGACGGAAGGTATCCACGCTGACACTCGGCCAAGTTTCTCATCTGGACATTCTGAGAGCAGCACAGCAAAGGCGGAGCTCTTTGCTCAACCGAAACACATCCAGTTTACCCGGACCTCCGTCCAGCTCGATACACGCTCCCATGGAAAAGACCGATTCCGTGGGCAAGGTTCGTCCAAGCAAGACGATTACCAACTTTCATGAATATTCTCCGGGATGGAGGGAAATATTCTATTCGGTTTCCCTGATCTCCTTACAGGAAAGCGTTCAGTCCAGCAGACCACCAAGTTTGAAGCTGTCCCGACAGAAGGCTATATCATCTTCCCAAGAAGATTCACTAGATCCTCCGCCCGTTAAAAAAGCCGAGCAGCCGGGTCACCATGTCGTCGATATCGAAGAGAACACGGATGAGGAAAAGAAGGACCTCGAAGAAACCAGCATGTAGTTTCGAGCGGGACAGCTCGACTTGCATCGGAGAGCTTCTAGATCAGGTCATTGATGCTTTATCGACTGGAGGAGGCTACCGGATTCAGACGGAGCATGGGAATGAATGAGCGATTCCTCGTTCTAGAGATGTCCCCCACGGCAGGAAGGGGGATCGGTTCACGCACTCCGTGACTTCGAGACGCAATACCCCAGAGCAGCAACGCAATCCATGCGTCTCCCGATCTTTCGTGAAATTCTGACGGCGTATATTTCGATTGCTGGGAAAAGTGGAGATATTTCTGTTCAGATCTACTTTAAAGCCCCGAGTTCGGTAGAGTCCTCCGCCAGCACTTTTGAAACTGGAATCCTGATACTTGAACCTGTTTTGCCCCCGAGGCATTCCCGGGAGACTGCAGACGCGTTGCTTTCAATATAGTACAACGCATTCCGTGATAAGATCGGATCTATTCCGCCGAGATTCACGCTGAATCACGTACATCAAGAGCCTATAGAGCGTATAGTGCGAACCTTACGAGCGAATCAACGAAACGAGAGCTGGTCATTTGATCGAGCGCTTTCGATTCCGTCGTCCTGATTGTAATGCTAAGGTCAACTGAGTCGGAACGATTGTTGCTGTCAAAGGTTCCTCATCGACCGAGCTGGGACCAGACTTCACAAGTTTTTCACGCGAACACGCAATCGATTTGTTATCAACTGGACATATATATCATCGAACATAGTAAGGAATGTTATCAAATCTAGCCCTTCATACCGTTCTCGACGAGAGTTATGACGTTCTACATTCTATGCTCGGAGAATCTGAGCGAGCTGTTCCAAAGAATAGCAGGGGATTCATACCACGTTACTCGACACGTATTTCCTTTCGTAAACGAGTTCTGCACCCGGAAGAGACCGAAATTCTGTTTCCCTATATGCCCCTTCCCAGAGTGGCAGCCTCCTCCCGAACGGGTGGAGGGGGAAGGGGATATTCTCCGTGCAATGCTCGTATTTCTACCTGGACTATATTCGACCCGCTTAGAGGTTTCGACTTCAGCTTTGTGCGCACGCTCCCGGCTCGATGCCTGGCGAACGGTATTTGATTTCCATCTTACGTGAATATGCCGGCTCCCGGCTACTATGTGCGATACGGTCGTTCCTGTCAAGACTTGACATGAATGTCCAGACCCCTTTCTGATACGGGTCTCGAAGCTGGAACATCTATATTTATAAAACTGGAGCATGAGAGTATTTAAGGTATGTTAAAGAAGAATATTATATACGTGCATTCATCTACCTATGGCCAGGTAATTTCCAGATGGCTGATATGTAGGAACAAGAATATAGCTAATTTTACATGGAGGCGGAGAGAGTGCCAAATAAATTCGATTGTTTGAGCTTTTCACGCTTTTCCGTACTCTCTTCTGAGACGGAGCGCACACATCCGTTCTTCCGAGCGGAGTCATATTTAATTAGCGTTCCTTCCACTATATGAACAAAATAATTAGGAATATAGATCATTTCCTCAGATGATATCTGATCGACTCGTATGTACATTCGGCGACTATGAATCGGACGAAGAAAGAACCCGGTGGCATTATATCAGAGAGCGACCTCACTCCTTGTCGCTCGGCTCCGACTCCGCGGACGTGTTGTGTGTGAAGCAATCTTCGTCGGTCGTTCTTCCTTTGTCTGTCACCACATCATCTAAAGCTTTTTCTTGTCTTTGACCTCGCCACCGATGACCTTGAGGACCAGTGAAGGCACGACGGCAAAGAGCATATACGCCGCCGCGACGTAGTACGAAAACGCGACGATGTAGAAAAAGAGTGGCGAAGCATCTTTGAACGGCACATCGATATTTTCCGAGAGTTTCCCGATGATGGCAGCAGCAACCCCCATCACGACCCGGCTGCCGGTCGAAATCTCTTTGCCCGCAATACTGAAGACACCACAATGCGTGGCGAGGCCCACTCCTGGAAGGAAGACGAGGAGGGCGTAAAGGACTGGGTTTTTCCGACTCGGCGTAAACTAGCATTCGTCTATCCAACTACGGGAAGAACGCTCGCAGCCTCGAGGGTAGCGAGGATTCGGTGGAAGGAAATCTGCGAGTGAGACTTCGGCAGAGCCTGAGCTCTCGAATGTCGAAACTTACCGGCGCAAAATCCGAGGAATCTCGTCATGGAGAAGTAGGGCGTTGTGTTCACGTGGATCCACTCAGGCCGAGCGCAGTGCTTCTGAGCGCGGCCTATCGTCGAGAGTACATCGACGCCGACAGTCTCCAAGATCCGCTTTGTCGCCATGGTCGACACGAAGAGGAACAATGTCAGGAAGAGGTATTTTTTGAGCGACCACCTCGAAGTATCCAAGCCCACCAGCGAGGATGCTATGGCGAATCCTGGAAAAAATTCTACGATTCAGTGCCGGAATCCAAATTGTTCACCTCATCCTCGAGTTTATCCACCCAATTGACAAAAGATCGATGCACCGAACTTTCACATCGCGAGACGAGCAGGGAAATCAACCATTCCTCGTGTACCTAGCAGCCTAGAACTATTACTCGCAAGAGGAACGCAGGCTTGCGGAAATAGATAAGGAGCGAAGACTTCCATGATCGTGACATTTCGAACTCGACGGGGAACGGGACACTCACCGATTGCCACGCCAAGCATACACTGATGGGGGAAATGGGCCGCGATGTAGAGTCTGCTTAAGCTCACGCCTACAACAACTGCGATGAAAGCTGGGATCAGTACGAAACGCGAGATCCATCGGTGTTTCCTCGCGAAAACCTTCGTCGTCAAAAAGTGCACGATCGCGTAGTTCAAAGCGGTTTGCAGCTGAGCGTGACCCGAAGGTGAACCCGGGCCAGTTTCGCATGTCAGGGGGAACTGCTTGATAATTGTGTCTCCTGGGTGGGCGGGCTGGAATTGAATTTCATTTTACTAATTCTCTGTTCGGGAAAGACCCCCCACGAGCCGGACCGAAGCAGCTCGTGTCAAGACTCGAGCTTTCAACACGTAGCGGAGCGACTTTCTTCCGCGGGTGTTTCGCTGAGCGTTAGGTCGGCGAAAATACTATTGCTCAGAGGGCTTCGACCGAAGCCCCACTGCCGCAGTGGATACGGGCTTTCCGAAGGAAACAATCGTTCTGATTCATCCGACCGGCAGCGTCGGGCGCCTAATGCCTACGCAAGTCTGTCCCTGACAATACACAGCCGATAAGGAACTCGACGTCGCCGAGAGCCCGCTGAGCACCCGAGCCGAATATTCCTCGTTCGGCACGGGACTGCACGGAGGGGATCGATGCAAATGAAAGAATGTGTACTCACAGTCATATTCTCCATGACCCACCAATACGGTCGGTGACCCAAGAGGATCCATTTGAGAACCATATTCGCCCACTCCGTTATGATGACGACCAGCAGCATAGCCCTTCCGGAGTTCTGACACAAAGCGTAGAACAGCGGTGGATAGACGAAGAATGCATAAGCTGGATCGCAGAACGATGAGATGTCTTGGAACAGGTCACAGTACGGTTCGCCACTGGAAGGAGTCAATTGTAAATTTCCGTGAAGTAAACACGATTTGAATGCTCCAATTGATGCTCATTATTTGCGGAGTAGAGTGTTCGCGATCAGGCTTGCGCGAAAATAAATCTCAGAGAGGAAAGATACGCCCGAGTGCAAAGAGCCGCCTCGAAAAACTACGGGGAGCTTCGTGGCTCGCCCGGAGTTCGTCATCCACCATGGATCATGCTACAGAGGAGAATAGTTATCTTATGGATTTTCTAGAAACGAAATTCAAGGTGGAAGTACCAGGCTCCGTTCTGAGACCGAACCCAAACTGTTGCACGAAAGAAACCAGATGGAGATTCCAAATAGGTACTCGAAGCGAGGGCATGGAATAATTCTCCCAAATCGCTTGGGTGGCCAGGATCACTGAAAGGCGCGACATCCTCGGGTATAATATCGAAGGAATCTAATAGATGCTTCGTGCCTCACACCAAGACGACTGATACGAGGGACGGGGTTGCAATGACACTTCCCGTGTATTCGGATGTATCGACGTCTCTCGGGTGTCGTGAATGTTGGGATACCGTTGAATGGAAATGGATCGTGCGCGGACAGCTCTGACTGGACACGGTAATAAGGGATCAATTTCCAGTTAGCGGGACTGGCTCGCCGAAGTTCATCGACTCTACACCTTCTGCGATCCCATCACTCCTCATGCTCGAATGATATTCCTTTCATCGATTCTGACTCTGTGGTCCCGCAGTCCAACAATCACGAATCAGTTCAAGGTGAAAACCCTCTCCAGCTCATTGCAAGACTTGCAGGGAGCGGCGTGCATTTCCACGCGATTCTAAAGAAACATCGATTAGTGTTCACTGATACGGTGCAAACGCTCGAAAATCCCGATCTTTCCGCCGTCATCCATCACTAGGCTCATCGAGCATACACAATCTCGTATAAGAACCTACGCGTCGCAAATCTTGGAAAGCTTCCTGGAAACTTTGCCGGTATCCCCCTATCTAATCTCCGCTCAAAGAACAATTATGGAGAAATCAGGAAGCCTGTTGTCCTAGGAACTGTGTTCGCATCGAACACGTGACGGTCTGCCCAGCGAGTCGAGTAGCTGTCGGTGGAATTCGTCTTTAAGGGCGAGGCTCATTGCAAATCGGGAAACTCGTCTATTAGCCCAGTTCCCATCCGCGACTTCGCTTGCAGCTAAATTCGGATCGGCCTGGCTACGGGGAACCACCGCGGCAAGAATGCCATAATTAAGTTTCCCATTAGCGTTGAGATGGTCGAACGCTCGGCTCCCCGGCAGCTCCACGTGGAAACCGCGCGTCGAGCAGGCGGAATTTTACTAAGAACTCCCGTGAGGCTTTCGGGGGGATGTCCAGAGATATATGATGGAGGGTCCCCAGATCCAGATCAGGATCCCCATAGAGATTTCTGTCTCGGCTTCCGAGAGCGTTGTGGTAAAGTTTCTCACAAGGCTTTCTGTCGATTATTCTAAGAGGGAGCTCCGATGACGAATGTACATACTCGCAAAAGTATGCAGATTCATCCTTGATATCGCCCGGGTATATTCCTCCGCCTCAGTGGAATACAGCTCGAAGAATGAAATCCAGAATGTTCTACGACCACCGCGCATGTAAGGTCCGGAGATCGAACCTTTATCTCGCAGAATTAAGAGCTGCCGTGGTCGAGTCTATGTCCTGGAAACCGTACACCTTGTAAACACTATCAGCTGAGCTCTCCAGCGATGAAACGATTCCGCAATCCACCGTTGAGCGGAGCAGACACAAACGGATTGTGGCTTCAGAACGCAATAGGAGCGACTTGTCATGCTTCGAGACCCGCTCGCTGGGACGGATTCGATGGCAACGACGTCTATCCCGTTCGGAAGACCCTCGCCCCGGGGGAGCCTTGACAGTTTTTCTTGAAATCAATCATAGTGATCATCATAAACCATCAGCAATTAGTTCTCTATCGATGGTGAGGGTTTCCGTAAACTCGCTGCAGGGGGTGAAACCGAGCAGCGACGCATCCCATGCCGTGCAATATGAGAACAAGGGGCGCGCGGAATGCGATCGTTAAACTCGAATGATTTTTTCGATTGCTCGCGGATATCGGCTCGGTTCGATCGACAGGCTTTCCAGCCGTTTTTCAGTCCCTGATCGATCGCACTACAATCAAGCGTCTCCAACCCAATCCTTGCACCGAGGGGCTTACACAGATTGGAGACAGCGCTCCACGGAATGAAAAGTCGATTCTACGACGAGCGCCAGGCAGAACGGCTGAACGCGCGCAGGGCGCGAAACGTTTCCTCTCTGTCATCAAAGACACACAGCAGCACTCCGCTGACCTAGCCCTCGAGTCGACTGGTGATTCCGCTCTCCGAGGAAGTTCAAGGTCTGGGCTTGATTGGGTTTCGAACAGAATATTTAATACTCACTGTTTCTGGAGGACCTGTAAGGCCGTTATGCCGTGCTCGTAGAGGAACTCCATGATTGTCCAATTAGCACTGGAATGGTTGTGTATCTAAGCTCGTTGTCTTTACCGCAAGGTTGATGCGGCGAGGATATACTCCGGGAAAGAGGACAGACACTCAGGCTAGTTCGACATCATACCGCCGCCAGTTTGATTTGCTGTGATGACTCGATCTGTCAGCTCGGGGTTCGATGCCTCCGCTTGACCGTGGCTGGGGCCGAGGCTGCATCACATGGATCGGTGCTCTGTCGTCTTTTGGACAGTAAACTCTGATCTCGTCGAGTTCCGATCACGGGACTATCCGAAAGAACGAGCAAGATCGCCATCTATTTGGAGTATAGTGCGGAAGGTGAAGCGCCCAGAAACATGACATCCTTTCGAGGCCTCCACATTGTTTCTGGTGATTGGCCGTCGGTCGAATCACCCGTCTGGCATAATCTCCATCGTTTCATAGCCCTCGAATCCTGACTCCTGCGGGATCGCCTCCCCCCTCAAACGACGCTTGCGTTTGATTATTCGCGTCACGAATCCATGCCGATAAAGATTGAGCAACCCCTTGAGTTCGAGATTTTTCCCTCTCGCGGAACCTCAATTCTCCTGAGAAGAGATTGGAAACAATGAACCATGGCGTCTGAGTAGGACGCAACAGGACGGTTTCTCAAAAAGCTGCGGATCTACGGACGAAAAGTATGCACTACCTGGCGAGCTCCTATGACTGCCCCCTCCTACCTCCCCCTCCAACCGGAGTCTCATTACGAGGAGAACAGAGCGCGCACAATGTGCTCGCAGTTTTTCCATTCCAGATCCCTCGGCGAGAGAGATCGAATTCCGATTGGAATCACTTCCCAAAGCAAGAGCCTCTGGGCTCCCACCGACCCTCCGACATGGAGCGTCCGATCTCCTGAACAAGTTTACATTGTGTCGATGACAGACAGACTGCCCAGATGTGTTCTGTTTGAAGCGGTGGGTTCTTTCCCTGGTAGCGTCTTCGAGGAGGCCGGTGACTTAAGAATAATATCATGATTATGATTCATCTTGCCTCGCTGCAGAACGTCACGATCGAACCATTACAAGTCGATACGATCGAGTGAGGATTGTCGTTTCGCGGAAGGATTGAGCCCTCTCGGAGAGAGCTTCGAGATTCCCTGTCTGAGCCGAGAACAAAACTGGCATCGCAGCCGATTGTCTACGACCGTGACGCCGAATCCATCGAGGCTTTCGGAATCACGGATTGCTTACTCTCGCAGCGGTTCCATCACGCGGGGAAAAATAGCTCGATATCTTCGCTGGGGGATTTGGATTTCGGAATCGTTTCGGGAACCGAGAATGCCCTCCCATAAGTCACGACGATTCAGCGAATTCGCGCCGGACAGACGAGAGCAGGTTTTTACTACCAGTGATTGCAATCTGCTTGTCGACGTTTCTAGAGTCCATGGTTTTCGGGATGATTCGGTGGTTACCATGAATAACCGGAAGACTGTGCGGCATTTCAAGCGCCCCCGCTGTGCGAGTCCAAGGCCGTTCCAAGCAGGGCAGGCCGTTGCGTTCGAAGGTATCATACGCTCTAGCCAAACAAAGATTAAGGATGATTGTCTCCAATGGACCGTCAAGCTCGAGAAGAATCGACTTGTTCTCGAAAGATAGTTCTGACCGCAATATCGACAATATCGACCCATTCAGTTCGCTTCCAGTCCATCGCCGTCAGTGGGTAACGTGGATTGTCGGAGCCATGCGATAATCGAACCAACGGTCGTTTTGCACTGTCTAACGCGTCCTCGGAGAATTATGCTTCGGGACACCTTTGACGGGCGCGCATTCCATCCAACGTCGGATAGTCTTCGATTGGATCACGGACGAGGCATTGAGGAAGCGCAGGACGCCCCCGGAGCGATGATACCGGCGAAAATTTTCCCGTCTGAGACTCGGAAATTCCGCAATCTAGTCTGGAAGCCGTAAAACAGACTATATTCTCTGATAAGACCGATATGATTAGAGTGAATGCATCCGCTAGCACCATCGGCATTAGTTATCATTCGGTGCAGGCTCCGCTCACACGTGTACGTTCCGATATTATCTACGAAAGCCCTGACGAGCGAACTCGAGAGGGAGTGCGTCTGGCGAAGGCAGCGCGACCAAGGTCCCCACATAACTGACAACATATCTCCCGGCGTAAATTGAACATCTGTTGATAGAGATTCAAGCAAAGAGGAAAACAATGAAGAATAAGGTGACATAAAGGAATGACGTAAAGCATTCCATCGCGACGTTTCGGGGTGACTCGGTTCACGTCATACACTCTCGGGAACGAGTGTCCCGGTTCGACGGTCATGCTCTCGGGTCTCGGTGTGGGTATTTTTTTCTCATCCAATTCCCTTCCAAGGTTTCAGAAGTGGATTGCTCAGATTTCCGCTTTCCGTCCGTAAGGAGATCGCAGGCTAGACGTCGACTCGAGCGGTCAAGCCCTTTGAAAAGATGCTCCTGTCCTGTTCACGTTGATGCGACGTGCAATAATGTACAATAGGATTGAAATTATTTACATGCGTATATCACCGCGGAGTCAGCCCACGACTCGATGTTCAATTTCTATTTCTTTTATTCTTACTAATTCAGAAATGTCACAGATTTTGGCTCATATATATTAAGTGGTCAATCACAGGTGTAAGTAGTGTTCTTTAGCCTCGTATCGCTGCACCCATGGTACATGCATGATTAAAACTTCGAGGAAACATATCGAGAGCATTTCCGCTGTTTGTCGGTGAGGACGGCTCCGTCGAACGTCCTCTGCTTCCGGCATCGGTCGCTATCTCTTGACCGGGGGCATATGGAAATTTTTCGAGAGCCGGGAAAACAACTCCTCGATCCGGTGGACGAGCGAAGAGACACTTAGGGTGGCCGTTGCAGGGAACCAACTCACAAAAGTATGGACTGCGATCTCGGCATACAGCAGGATAAGGTTGCCGGGGTCGCCTTTCCAAACAACCGAGACCGCATCCGACGGCGTCGGAGAAGAAGAACAATTAGGTCAAGTAAAGCTAGACTTCAGTCGACCACAGATATTAGCGCTCGGATTCTTAGAGCCGGAATGACATGACTCTTTTTTCTTTCTAGAAGGAACAATCGCTTCGTCATATTTGTTCAAAGGAGAGGGTACGTTGTATTAAAGAATACGCCTGCTTATACGGGGCGAATTATTTATATGAAGTATGCGAATAAGATTGCGACGGAGAGCCTGGACTGGAGAGGACTCGAGCCGGAAGGGGATCAGAAGTCCTCGGGCAATTGCTCTCCGGCATCTTCACTTTCCTCCATATCGGTGAAACGTTCCGTGAGGTTGACTCTGCCTGTTAAACTCTCCTCATCCACGCCGATCAAAGGGGTGTGCCTGGAATGCGGAGAATCGACAGCGTTTTAGTCAACAGCTCTCGAGGTTCTCCCGAGGAACTAAACTCGGTCCCTTGGCTCCTATGTCTCGTACAGAATCTACTCTTTCGATTGCGCATCAACTCTCCCTTCCCGCCCCACAAAGTCCCACGAACTCACACTCGGCTGGGGGTGCTTGAGGATCTGAGTGATTCTCTGTAACGATTATCCATGAAAGACAATGTCGGTGTCGCCGGTGGTTGCGGCATCGAAGATCTCTGTGAAGGAGTCAGAGGACGTTTCCGCATCAGGGGTCGCAACTTCGATAGAAGATGTCGAGGGCACAGGATCGCAAGGAGTTGCAGTACGTTATTAAATACAGTGTTCATTCTGTACCTGAGGAAAGCAGAATTGTAAGGAAAAACTAGAGCTAGCGGCTAAGCGGTTGCCAATCCGAGATTGAAAATCGAAGCGGGAAGCATCAAATTCGCGGAAACGCCTCAACTCACTTGAAGCGATTCCTCGCGAGTTGTTTCTCCCGTTCGAGAACTCGGAGCTGCATTTCACGGGTTTCGAGGAGTTCCTCTGGACTCGGCCTTTCCTGGGGCTTGCTCGCCAACAGCCACCGGAGGGTTTCCCAGAGTTCGTCACTCTTACCTGTGGTTGATGAAAGGATTTTAATCTGATTCCGTTTTTTTTTAGCAGGAGGAATCCACATCGGGACGAGGTACATATTCTCTTCAGTCGGAAGTCGATGTCTCTCATACCTCTCATCTCTTCCGCAAAATTCTTTCTCCAATCCTCCGGACGGAACTTGAGATCAGCCCATGTGTCCTGGTATCGCGCATGTCTTGGATGCAGTATACCCATGGCGATCTGTAGGACAGTGGCGCCTATCGAATACGAGTCCGCTTTCGGCGTGTACGAGGTTAAGTTAAATGTCTCCGGAGCAGCATATCGTCCGTCGCCCTCAACAGCTTTATTTTTGTTCCCATCAACGAAATCTACGGAGGAACAAATCTTAGCTCGAATCTTCCCGGATATCGAATTCGGTATGAATTCCTACTTCCGCATGCTTCCACTCACTGAAAGCGATGCCGAAGTCTCCCAGCTTGAAACGGCCGTCTTCGATACCGGTGAACACATTCTCGGGTTTGATGTCCAAATGGACTATTTTATGACGATGCAGATGTCTTGCTGCTTGCATAATATCGATCATGACACTCCAGCATAGGTCTTCGGGTATCAAATCCGGTTGTAAATAAGGAATTTCTTCGTTGATAGAGGAAGTTTGTATCAAGTTTTTCTGCAAGAGCAAAAGAGTCATCCAATGGGCCATGAATGCCGAGATCCTCCAAAACGACATAAAGTTCTCAAGAATGATCCGGAGATCTCACCAAGAACTTCGCCAGATCGCCTTGACAGAGTTCAGTCTGAATGAAGAGCTTCTGTCCTTCTTGCCATGCCCGTTTGAAGCCCACTATATTAGGATGGGAAGGGAGGCATTCCAACATCTTGACTTCCTTCAGCAGAGACTTCCGTCTCTCGCGAGAAGTGAAGGGTTCTCTGAGCTCTTTGATAGCATACAGTTTGCCATCTTCTTTCTGGCGACACTGGAATTGAAAAAAATATATGGATCGACTGCTTGCAAAATTCATGTCAATCTGAACGCTTCTGAATACATGGTGTTGGAGTCCGAGGCAGTGGACTCCGGCCGCTGCCCAACGAGAAGTCTCATGATGTATGACATCTTTCGGGGAGAAAACGAACACTCCCACCGGTCGGTGGGCGGAATATTCCAAGACCTGAGATAAGTGTGCACATCTGGGGAAACAATCACCTTGTACACCGCTGCGAAACATCCTGAACCTAGAGGTTCGATGACTTCGAAACAGCTGTTATAGTAGCTCGTCGATTTGGACCTGTCGAAGAATGGGCTGTCGAGGTTCTCATTGCCGTTGAACGATATAGCCAACGTCTCATTGAGAGCATCATGCTCCTCCTGCAGTTCCGCTAATCGCGGATTTCTGCATTTTTGACGACCGGGCACAGGCGTCGATTCTGTCGGTCCCAGGGACAATGGACGATTGGTTCGCATCTGCAAAACGACGGTGGGGAGTTCTTAGCACAGAATCCGCTGATTGATCCGGGGGACAGGATGATGTATCCACTAGAGCAGCGCTCAAACACGGAGTGGGTACCCTTTTCTTCGACGAAAGCTCTTCGTCGGCGAACGAATCACTTCGTCTCCGTCTCGTCGGGGAGAAATTGTCGCCCATGGCACTTCACAAGTCACGAGAAGTCGGGCACCACATCTTCCGTCGAGAGCTAATCGCTATCTCCGGAAGATTGAGCTCCTCGATCGCGGTCGGCAATCCGCGAGAGATCGTCGCTGAGATTTCGACCGATGACTGTCACTCGCGAGCTCCTATCTGCGACGCTAATGTCTTCGCTGACAGGATTCGATTCCGATTCGAATAGCCACAAGAATCTGATTCATTTATGTAGCACAGTTTCTCACATTCACGCCCCACTGACAGTGAGGCTGAAATTATTTTGCTCTCGTCTTTGTTTGAAATTGGCCCCGAGGCGCCAAAAGTTAGTCCGCCATTTTGAAATGGCGCGAAAACTGCGCGAGACCCCGAGAGCCGCATGACTTCGAATCGTCCCACAGTCTTGGGCCCCTCGGACAGGGTTTTCGACCTTCATTCCCGCCAATACAGGGACAGGCGGCAAAGATCGGAGTGTCTAAGGGTCGAGGTTCTCGATCGAGGCCGCGCGGGAGCGACTTGATCGCGGGGAGCTGTTCGCAATCAAGAGACCCCTTGGTGACGACAGGAGCGCGTGGTACGGCTCCCGCTTGGAACGTATCACGTTCACTTATTCTCTGCTATGGGAATGTTTCCTACCGAATGATGATTGATATACGTAGCATCTGTCTACAGATTATTCGGAGCACCGTTAGTTGCTTCGCTCGGGAGGGATTGAGAGTGGGTTTGCTCGATGCTGGAATTCGATCCCCGATGTTCGTGAGATTGATCATCAATCATCCCGTCGTTCGGTAGAATCGTGCGCGAAGTTTCCCGCATCACAAAGGGATAAGGGATACGGTAATGCAGGCGAATCGACGCATATTGAAGGTCAGAGTCACTCCATTGCAGCTCTGGACATGAAGTCGATCCGAGCGACCGCGAGGGGAAGACCACGAACGGCTCTGCTTCAATCGTTATTACATGGAAACGCTTTTGTACGAATCAAGTACCGAGGGAGCACTCCTCTGGGAACTGCAGCGTAGTCGGCGATCTCGTCGATATGGAGGAATTCCAACGTGAAACTGCGCCTCCGTATGCGACCGAAATGGTGTATTCTTCCCCTCTACATCGATTTCCAGGGGGGAAATGTAAAATGTAGGGCGTTTTCACGGCTGAACCCTTCTGATCTTGGATAGCTAACATGGAACCGAAATCCCATGCCCTTCAAACACCGGAGAGACCATAAGGATCGTCTGGAAGAAATATTACAAACTAACCACGTACCCGAATTATGCTGAAATCTTCCTCAGCGTTCTTCCGTCCCGAACCCATCCTCCTACCATCGGCTAAGGGTGGGGTTCCTAGCTTGAATGAAAACTTTTGAGTATTGATACCACGAAGAAAAATCGTCTTTCCCAGCAGGGAATCTGCACGGACTACAAGGAAATCAAAACCATTAGACGAAGAGTATGCTCCGGAAGCATACGACAGAATTTGCAGGAGGTGGTGGGGGAATCGAGAATTCGCTTGAGATCCATTGGAAACGAAGGGCTCGTCTTTTTCGTCTTCTGAGGCTCGACTAGGGATCCACGTTCTCCCCCGCGTATTCTCGCTCGTACATTGTATTTTCCAACGTTACAGGTACAAAGTTCGAAACAAGAATGTGATCACCCCTCGATTGACCGGGGCGGCCTTCCAACCGTCAGGAACTAGAATCGAGAGCAAGATTCACGATCGCCACCCTCGGTCGTGTAAGCGAGAGGTTCGATAAGCCCATGCACCATGCAGCGAAGTCCACAGTCGGTTGGGAATCCTGGATGCGGGGCTCCTCGGAGAAAGGTGAAAAGCTTTGACGAGAGTGTTGAAATCTTCGGGAAGCTTACCACGAGTCCACGGACGAGACCGAGAAAGTAGACTAGCCGTCGAGACTGCTGCTGATCTCCTCTGTCAACTCTATTCGAAGACTTGTTGATAAGGTCCTCGAGATTTCTCCGAAACCACCTGTCGAACGGCTCCGGAAGAACAACTCGAGGGAGCGGAGCATCCACAAGTCGACGAAGAGCTGCAGAAACGAATCACCAGAATCTCTATACACCACAAACTTCTCCCAACTCACGATGTCGCTTAGCGTGAACCCGGAGAAAACGGATCCATCCGAATTATCATGTGGGGGTTGAGCAGGCGAATTCCCAGATGTTAGGAAGGCAACAAGCAGCAACAACCGGCAAACTTATTGGAGGTACGCCAAGGAAGCGCCCGAACAAGCTCTGACCGATAGAGAGGATCATCAGCATCATCCCCTTCCCTCTCCTGTCGAAACTTTCAATTTCCAAGATCCCTGCGCCGTCTCCACTCTTTGTACGCATTTCCCAGGTTTTTGTGATGTTGTGATACATGTAATTTTTGGCAGTTTGAGGCATACGCACAAGCGCGCGAAAGGAAGGCTCTCAAGCATACGAGCTGTTCTTAATGTCAGCAAAGCCTTGACGGTGTCTGTACGGACGGATTCTATCGGCCTTGAGGAATATTCCATTCTGTGCTATATTCACCCCTCCCCCTTCAGCAGTAAGTGAATTTGTATTTCCGCAGGTAGAAAGTATTGGGCATGCAGCTCTCTAGACGCGTGCTAATCCTCCGAAGACAATTGTTGACATTCCGAGAATTTTCGGCTTTCTCATAGAGGGACTCATAGTCGCCGAGTTCCACAAATTCTGAAAAATCGCTCAGCTGTTCAGCAGGGATTGTCGTCGGAGGAGCGCGGGTTCAATTCCACGCTGAGCTGTCGAGGATGAACATTTATCACGATAAGTGATCCATTGATAAAATTTCAGGCTTGCCGGACGAGTTCCAGCCTGTAAAGATAAGAAGACGGGACAACAGGTAGCTTGACTCACTCGCGTCGTTGAATCGAATCCGATCAACGATATCGCGTCCTTTCTGGAGAAGAAACTACTATATGAACGCCATGCTGCCATCTGTTCTGCGTGTGATTGCGCGTTCGGCGGACTTGAAGTCTTTACGTCTTCTGTCGACATCAAAAGGTTAACCAGAGCTTCGAGAAAGTTTCTCCGTCCTCAATATCACTAGATTAGGAGTGACGAGCGTCTTCGAGTGATTCTCTTCCGATATCGCCCCGTGGGTCCTCATACTCGTGTCGATTGAAGAGAAGATCTTTTCCCATGAGATGCGTTTGGAGTTATCTCTATCTCAGGACTGAAATGATAAAGGATCGCCGCAAGGGCTCAATCCGTTGAGATATTGATGATGAATTAATTACCAATAATAATTGATAGAATTCTCCCTAGCCGCATCGTCGAAATTCGACTACAGAGATCCCTTCCTCTTGGACGAGCAGCTGAGCGATGAAGAGAAAATGGTTCGAGACAGTTTCCGGAGCTACTGCCAAGAGAAGCTTTTCCCCCGCGTCCTCATGGCGAACAGACTCGAACGTAAGTAAGCCGAGCTCGATTTATGTATCGTCGTCTTACGATGCAGTCGAAGGCAAATCAATTGAGTCAGATATCGTTTCGTGCCATCGACTCCGAATCTTGAATTTAGTCTTGCCATTGAAGGATTCGATCGCGAGATCATGAACGAGTTCGGGGAGCTCGGAGTCCTCGGATCCACCATTCAGGGTTATGGTTGTGCTGGTACGAATTATGTGACTTATGGCTTGATAGCCCGCGAGGTCGAACGGTAAGTTACCAGGCGACTCGCTCTCGAATCGGGTCATCGCTACCCGTCGGGAGTTGAGAGAACCCACCTGCCTCGGAGAGCAGAATCCGACAGGAGAGTTAGAGCTTCCCTCGTCTTGCAGAGTCGACAGCGGTTATCGATCCGCTATGAGTGTACAGTCGTCGCTCGTCATGTTGCCGATCTCCACATTCGGGTCAGAAGAACAAAAGCAGAAGTATCTCCCCAAGCTGGCAAAAGGCGAACTGGTCGGCTGTTTCGGCCTCACAGAGCCCGATTTCGGCTCGAATCCGGCAGGTGAAAAAATGTCGCGCAATATCCTATGCCGTGAGAAGTTCTGGATCGAGTGTTCGCCATCGTCTTGCTCACGACGATTCCCCTCCAGGAATGGAAACGAAGGCCACTTATAACCCCTCTGGAAAAACATACACGCTTCGGGGATCGAAAACGTGGATCACCAATTCGCCGATTGCTGACGTCTTCGTCGTCTGGGCGAAGGACGACGCAGGCGACGTCAGAGGATTCATTCTGGAGAAGGGCATGAAAGGACTCAGTGCCCCGAAAATAGAAGGGAAATTCTCCCTACGAGCCAGCATGACTGGAATGATCATGATGGACGACGTCGAAGTTCCCGAATCCGCCATGCTACCCAATGTGAAGGGTTTGAAGGTGATTAATGAGACAGAATTAAAACAGACTGCAGACTACAAAAAAAAACGAGATCGGAGGGATTCGAATCCCGAGTATCGACATTGCACTCGGAGTCGACTCTGAAATGACTAAACTGATTTTTCTTGTCCAGGGACCATTCACGTGCCTGAACAATGCCAGATACGGGATCGCGTGGGGAGCATTGGGTGCCGCTGAGTTTTGCTTCGAGCAAGCGAGGCAATACACTATAGAACGAATCCAATTCAAAGATCCCCTCGCCAAGAATCAGCTGATACAGAAGAAATTCGCTGACATGCTCACGGAAATACACATTGGTTACCAGGCTTGTCTACGAGCCGGGCGACTCATGGACGAGAAGAAGTGAGCATTTAATTCTCCTTCATATTATCACGGCAGGCGGACGATCGATACGATTCTTCGCAATCGTGCCGCATTCCGATCGCTCCCGCATGGAAATCGCGATATCCCGAAAATTTTCCAGGTTGCAACCGGACCTGATCTCCATAATCAAGAGAAATTCGTGCGGGAAAGCCTTGGATATCGCGCGGACATCCCGCGACATCCTTGGTGGCAACGGTATCTGCGACGAATATCACATCATCCGTCACGTCATGAACTTGGAGGCGGTCAACACCTATGAAGGTTGGGACCGATTCCGGGTAACATTCGAAAGACTCGGGGGAAAATCGTACGGGGGCTGCCCCCGGATCGCGCGGATCGAGTGAATCACTCTGGAATTCGATTTTTTCAGGAACTCACGATGTCCATGCTCTCATACTGGGACGCGCAATCACCGGACTTCAGGCTTTTACATCCGACTAAGGAGGCTTGGATAATTCAAAAGCTGCTCCGGTTCATTACTCAGATGACTATGCAATCGATTCCGTCTCGCCTGAACTTGACGCAGCTCATTTCTTGTTATAAAATTTAAAATATATAATTTTTATGTGAGTGAAGAATTTCCATCATGATTAGAGTGCTACTTTTTCGGGGAAATTGATTGGGAATCCTGCACAGCGGGAGGAAGAGGTCAATTTGCGAGGGAAAGGGAATCATGTAGAATGAAAAATTCATCGAATGGTCGTCGTGGGCGTCGGGACCCCTGAGCGAGCATGGCCTCTCATTGATAAGGTCCTCTTAGAAATCTCTCTCAGTGGCGATGGTTCCGGGTTCCCCTCAGGGCAGGATCCGGTGACCCACCGATGCACATGAGGAAATTTACATCTGGTGGATCAACGTCGACGTACAATGGTAATGGCCATTGACCTTCGGCTGCAGCGTTTGGAGTCTCTTTACGCTCGACTGAATCACCATTTTTTTCTCTCACGACTGGGCGCAAAGGGGAGACGAGATCTCCGGGATTGAAACGTCAGGAAATAGGCGAAACTTCCCAGGAGGCAGAGTCTGGACGAAAATATGGAGAAAGTTAAAATAATTTCAGTCTTACTCCGACAGTGCCCTTCCCGGTGAATAGTTGTCACGACATGTCCTCGCCATCCCCCAGCCTCCACGAGGACGAGGACGAATGAGAGCAGGTGAATGCTGAGATGGTACGCATCAGGGATCAAGGCGCTTTTCCGCGACATGACTTGGTCGCCGTCCTTAATGTATCGCAGGTGGCGTGTGAGCGTAGCGGGGGACCATCAAGCTGAGCGGTTGGCAACGGCCGCAGCATTCCGTGAATTCTGCCCGCCAAGGAAAGATCACAAGCATCATCACACGTGGCGCTTCCTGTACTGATCCCTACTGCTGCTGCTACCACTGGCCACCGCCGCCTGCTCTGCAGTTCCATTTGCAGAAGACACACTCGTTCGACCGCCTGCCTAGTGACTCTGGTGGCGAACAGTTTGTGCCGCTGTTCATTGATCTATCTGTGATTTAGTCGTTATTCTAATTGTCTGTTGAAACTCCCAAGTTCTCCGAGCAAGGACACGATGCCGTCTGACGCTAAGAAAAAGCGAGATGCCAAGAAGAAGGAGGCTCTGAAGAATCGGAACATGCCCACCAAGAAAGGCGACTCGCCGGTTGAAGATGATTCACCGCCGACGAACGGCTCTTCAATCGTAAATGGAACGAATGGTGTCACAAGCGAGTACGCAGAGGATGAAATGGATGAGGTGACCAAGAAATTCGAGGAAGACATGCGGATGAACGCTGCTGCCCGCGCCGTCACCGGTGTTCTCTCTATCCACCCCCGGTCACGCGACGTGAAGATCGAGAACCTCTCCATCACCTTCCACGGCTGGGAGGTTTTGCAGGACACCAAGCTGGAATTGAATTGTGGACGACGTTACGGACTCATCGGAATGAATGGCTGCGGCAAATCCGCCCTGCTTTCGGCGATCGGCCGTCGAGAGCTGCCCGTCCAGGACTGCCTTGACATTTACCACCTCACTCGCGAGTGCCCCCCCTCAGACAAGACCGCTCTGCAAATGGTTCTGGACGTTGACAAGGAACGACTCCGGCTAGAGAAGCTCGCCGAGGAGTTGGCCTCCGCCGAAGATGACACGAGCCAGGAGCAGCTCATGGAAATTTACGAGAGATTGGACGACATGAACGCTGAAACGGCGCTCGCCAAGGCGTCATACATTCTCCACGGTCTGGGTTTCACGCTCGCCATGCAACACAAAAAGTGCAGGGATTTCTCCGGAGGTTGGAGGATGCGAATCGCCTTGGCACGTGCGCTCTACGTGAAGCCGCATATCCTGTTGCTCGACGAACCGACGAACCACTTGGACTTGGACGCCTGCGTGTGGCTGGAAGAAGAGCTGAAAACCTACAACCGTATCCTGATTCTGATTTCCCACTCGCAGGATTTCCTCAACGGTGTGTGCACCAACATCATCCACATGAATCAGCGTAAGCTCGAATACTACGGAGGAAACTACGACCAGTTCGTCATAACACGCGCGGAGCAACTCGAGAACCAGATGAAACGTTACAACTGGGAGCAAGCTCAGATCGCCGACATGAAAGACTACATCGCTCGATTCGGTCACGGATCGGCGAAATTGGCACGTCAAGCTCAATCGAAAGAAAAAACTCTCGCGAAAATGGTCGCTGGAGGTCTCACGGAGAAGGTGGTCCAAGATAAATCTGTGAGCTTCTACTTCCCGTCTTGCGGACCCATTCCCCCGCCTGTGATCATGGTTCAGGGCGTCTCGTTCAGATACAGCGATAACACCCCGCTCATTTACAAGAATCTCGAGTTTGGTATGGACCTCGACACGAGGGTCGCTCTGGTCGGTCCCAACGGAGCAGGGAAATCCACGCTGCTGAAACTTTTGTGCGGTGCGCTCGTGCCCACCGACGGCATCATCAGGACTCATTCTCATCTGAAAATCGCGCGTTACCACCAGCATCTCCACGAATCGCTCGACGTCGACCTGTCCGCGCTGGAATACATGATGAAGAGTTTTCCAGATGTTCGTGAGAAAGAAGAAATGCGAAAGATCATCGGTCGCTACGGGCTTACGGGACGGCAGCAGATTTGCCCCATCAGACAATTGTCGGACGGACAGAAATGTAGAGTTGTGTTCGCTTGGTTAGCGTGGCAAGTGCCTCATATGCTCTTCTTGGACGAACCTACGAATCATTTGGATATGGAAACTATCGATGCTCTCGCTGATGCCATCAATCATTTCGAAGGAGGCATGGTGCTCGTTTCCCACGATTTCCGTCTGATCTCTCAAGTAGCCAAAGAAATTTGGATCTGTGAGCATCAGACGGTCACCAAATGGCCGGGAGACATCAAGACCTACAAACAACATCTGAAAAACAAAGTCATGAAGGAGCTCGAGAAAATCAAAGTCTGAGAGCTGGAGTCTAGGGCTTACGTTCATTGCTACCGGAGACGAATTAATTAATTATTTTGATCAATAAATTGTTGACCGTGGAATACCATGTCTTCAATGGGGAGGAGGAGACGGAGAGGGGGGGGGGCAGGAATCTATGCTCTGCCACTTCTCCTGCCAAAAATCTTTTATAGACCGCACTCGATGCTCTCAGCTCAAGGGGTTCTCTTTCTGACCTCTGGGATCGATGAATGGTGGAGTCAGACGGCTCCGAGGGTTACGTCGATATCGAGAGATTTTTCCCCGCGAGCACGAAGTTCAGAGTCATTGATTTTCGACTCATCTATCATCGCGAATTTTTTCCCGGGCATTTTCTGGCCCTCGATCCTGACCCGATAATCTCTCATGGGGTAGGATGTAGGCTTTCGCTTCCAACAACAGATTTTGTGAAAGGAATTCCGAATACATCTGCTCTCGGATTGGCGTCATCTAACCAATGAGATGTGGGGAACGCATCGACAACAATTTGGCGATATCGAGACCGAAGTCTGTGCGCACCACCGATATCCATCCCAACTGCGGGACACCACCCTCAGCAAACCTGCTCGGCATCGAGCTTGGGCGAACGTTCCGCGTTCGACCTGTTTCGCCGTAGTTTCAAGAGAAGATCGGCCTCGAGCCCGATTGCTTCCACCCGAGTGGCACTGGAACGGAACGTCGCCTCCGGGGTATAGTTTGAGCTGCTTCGGTGCTCGAGGAAGCGCTAAGAAGTTCCCTATGACTTCCGTTTGCCGTCTGACCGTTTCTTATAAGAGGGACTGATGTTCTGTTCTGAAGTGACTGTTTCCGGACACGACGTTCCCGCGCTGCCGAATGTACCACGCTGAGCCGCGTCACACCGTAGCTGCCCTGGAATTACCACAGTAATTGACACAGGCATTCCGTCCTTAGTGATCGATAATCCGCCGGATCAGATAGGGATGCTATGGTGTCGACTGTTATCATTCGTCACGTTTAGGTGCGTTCTCTCGGAGCGAGTTCACCCTCGACAACCGGAGCTCTGTTGGAGACGGTCTTCCTTCGCTGATCCTGGACCCTGGCTCGTGCACTGAATCAGAGGATTTCTTGCGAAGCTAATCGCTTTTGGGGATCGATCCCTCCGAAGGACATGGAAGGATTCATCATCCTTTGTACCACGGCGGAGGGCTATCTCGACGATATAATCCGATTACTGATCGATTCCTTTTCGGTCGATGGGCGCAATGGATACAAGTCAAGAAGTTGAGTATACACAAGTGTATTTATTGCTCAAGTGCAGAAAACGCTGACACCCAATCGATTATTCACATGTAAAAGCTGTCACATACATATATCATACCATAAGTTATAACCAATTATTATATGTACAATAATGGAATGATCCAACTTCTTCATCTGGAAATTATAAAATCCAAGAGCGACTAGTCGGTCGAGATATACCTACGAGAAATCCCCTGATGCGGAGGTCCGTCATGCAATCGGAGTTTCCCGGACAGTTAATAGAACGGTAGTCAATCAAGGAGAATGGGGGTCTTCCGTCGAGTTCTGGGTACCGCTTTCCGTGAGAGCAGGTTCGACGTCGAATAATGCCTATATCAGCGCTAAATCGAATGAGTTTGTGTTGAGCCTCAATAGGAAAGACTGCCCTGTTTCTGAAGGGAGTTCGTCAATTTCACGCTGAGGCGCCAGTCTATGGAAACACCGAGGAAGGGAAACATCATCCAGAAAAAAAGGATTAGCCATCGATTTTACGGTAACGGGAACGCTCCTGCACGACGTCGAAGAGGAAAATTCCCGGCAAGACTGAGTGAACGAAAAGCCTGGGATCGAGGGCGCAGATCACAACAGGAAAATTTCGCAGACGGAAAGAGAGACAGCGAGGAGCTTCTCGCCCCAGGGTCGTCCGGAACAATCGAGAATCCAACTCATTGGGGCAAGGAGTCGCAGTCCGATGAGAGACATCTCTCCAATTACGGTGTCGTAATGAAATATTCCGTATCTGACCGAGAATGAACTCAATTGATTTACGTCTATGGAATCACTGACGCGCTCTTGTACAGTATCGGAACTCCAGCCACACGAGCAGAGGCTCATGAGCGGATTCCGGGAGTCAGATCTACCAACAACGCACACCTCGGCGCGGTGCGTTCTGGGAGTGAGCAATAGTTCCCAACGTCCTTCAAGCCTTTAGCCCTCTTTGTATTCTCAACGTTATACCCAAGGACCCTGCGGACCCGCTATGGAGTCCCAGTGGGTCGGGAAATCGCCATGGACCCTCGGGTGTATAGGGAGAACTCTGGGAACCACGGTCTCGAAGAATGGTGAGGGGGGGGGGGGGCGGCAAACTCTTCCCTTCTTGAGAGACCATTGTACAGAAGGTATTCCTATTTACAGCATTTTACACGGTCCCAGCGGGAATCGAGCGGAGCCAACGAACAGGAAGCTTCCGAGACATCAAGAGAGGGAATGTACAAAAAACGGAAGTTAGTATCCAAAATCAATGAGAAGCTCAGCTCGGAGCCGGAGCAGCGTGCTGACGCCGTGGGTTTTTTTCAGTCAATATCACTTCCGGATGTTCGGGTGAGCCCAGAGTCCGGCCAGTATACGCGGCCGGGTCGGAAATCGCTCACCCTTGAGTATTCGCAAAGTCTAGAAAATCGAACTTGCAAAGGCTTCCTACCGGAGGAACACTGGAATTCGAACACAATATCACGGCATCGTGGACGGGTGGTCCGTTCCGCGACGTCACAACCTGTTTTTTTCTCATGCGGCGGTGCGTGGACTGCACTATCGCGAGTCTACCGAACACAAGCTTTTGGAATATTCGTATTCTATGTATGTACATACGTCGTCGAACAAAAATAGGTCGAGCTGACCGGAGCCAGCGGGCGGAATGACTGAGCGTAGCTCTAAACTTCTGAACAGAACCGCCGCGTTTCTGATCGGTCGTCAGTGACTGAGGCACTGGGTATCGGGAATCGACTCCGAATCGACCCTGTCAGTTAAATTCCTACAACGAAACGGTCTGCGTTCCAGTATCCACGACGGCTATCCTGTTGATAGCCGTTGTACTTCGCGATGACCTCAGTCCACCAAAATTGTTGTTACTTTCATCACTCAACGAATGTGACAACCTGTACGTCCGCTTCTTGTTGGTTAGACTTTTCGAATATCGTTTCGGTGAAGATTGGTCGGATGAAGACGCTTCCAAGCTCGTCGGTGTCCGCAGATGAGTCGAAGTGCTCCCCATTGTGTTGAGTTCCGACTCTCGGAGCGCTAGGTTTCGCTCCCGCTGCTCAACCTGAAATCGAATGAAGCTCTCGTCAGTTGGAACCGTGAGGTGGTGGGGTCCGAGCTCGGGAACTTAGCGTAGGTGCCTATCCATGGGCAAGGCAGGCGGCCAAATGAACTTCAAAGGCCAATCCAGATTTGAGAGGAGTCTCTCTGCTGTGACACAGACTATTCACCATTTATCCGACAGCCCGCGCGGCCAAAGAGACTTCTCCACTATTCTCTCATTCGAATTCTAATCAATTCTCCCAAGGGTCGCGCAAATCAATGAAACCACGCTTAGTTATTCGGTGCATTCAAACATGAATGATTCGGTTTCCCGCCCTGATCGGAGGATGGCGATAAGGGCTCTGTGAGCACCCTGGAATCGTCTCCGGCTCCGAAATGTATCATCATTTCTGCAGGGAATAATTCAGTGGCCATCAGCGATTCCGTGGAAATGCTCCGGAGCTTTCAGTCTCCTTTCGGTGTCCGCAAGCGTACAGAGCCGACGTGAGAGATCGAAGGTTAGCATCTTCGAAGCTCAAGACCTTCCCGCCGGTAGGGCTCCGCGATGAGCCACGTCAACTTCGGCGGTGAAGCCATCGTTGAAATTCTCTCTCGTCGACTGCTCATGCCACACGGCGGGTGCAATCGCAACTCAATAAAAGAGAATTCTATTATGTCATCAACGAGCGATCGGCGTCATGTGTTAGAACAGATCTTTGCTCTGCGAGCGCGCGCAGACGACTCATCGACAAGAGTTCACTGAACGGCCTTCGCGGATTCGACGTTCGTCTCGTCGTCGGCGACGTTTTTCTGGAGAGAAGTGTACCCTACCAGCGAAGCGAGTTCAAGAGCGGAAATCTCGAAGCTTCCGTCGAAATGGTCTTGAGTGTCATTTCCGCAGCGAGGTCTCTGGCTATCCGAAGAACTCCACGTGTGTTCGGAAGCGCTTCGCGAATTGAAATCTGGGAGTTTCTTTCCCATCTCAAGAGGGCCCGCAGGTGTCCGTAGTTCTCCCAATCCGTTCAAGGACCCGGCTAATTCTATGTATACCAAGGTCCCTCCGAGGGAGCGGCATCCGAGAAACTTTACGATTTTAATGAATTTGCTTCTTCGTCAAAGTCGGTTCAAGATCGACGATGACCTCCGCTTGAGGGATGCTCGAATCCCACCAGGAGCCGCCGGGACTCTCCAAGCCAGCGGATCCGGCTGATTCCATGCCAGTATTTGTCGGAGGCAATTGAAATTCCGCCGCAGAGCCATCCTTACAAGCAGGGTCGTCATGAGCGGTGGAATGTGCACTAGCGAGAAGGAGTGTCTGGAATGCAGCAACTGCCCGTGTTGGATCGGATAGATGCTCCTGCAGCCAACAGCCAACGACGACTTTAGCATATCATGCGACCGTTGGGCGATTCAAGGGACCAGGCGACAAGACATCGACGGCAATCTGGCACGAAGGCGCAATTAGCGACTTTCGAGCTGCTCTTAGCAGCACAACGAGACGACATATTAAGCAAACCGGATAGAATATCTCGACCCGGTTTAGTCCAGAACCAATTTCGAAAAAGAAGGCAATGTAGGGGCACCTCTGCCGCGACTAGTGAAGATCTCGATTTCCCGACCCCATGGAAAAATCTCTAAAGAGGGGAAGCACCCTAGACGGCTCAAATACTTGAGGTTATCGAACTCACCTGCTGCAGAAGCGCTGTCGCTTCAAGGTAGAGTTTGTTGGCACGTTGCAGTCTCCGTTCGTAGTGAAGCCGGACTTCCTGAGCGTGTCGGAGCTCCTCGAGACGCTTTTTCAAGAGAACGCTCGCTTCCTCTTCCAGAGCCACCGGCGGTTTCAAGCTCGTGCATCGTACCTTACTCATGTACGTGCGGATCTCTTGACGCCAGTTCGCTTGCGTATTGAAATAAGTGTCTTTCGGCGTGGAGAGAATCTGAACGGCTGCGATTTCTAGATGGCTGAGGATGTGTTTGAATGAGGGACGGTTTTGAGGCTTCGCATTCCAGCACTGCATGAGCAGGAGTTTGAACCCGTCTGGGCACGAGGTTGGAATCGGCAACGAGAGCAGGTTGTTCCCGACTCCGTAGATAACAGCCGAGTAGTCGAGCTCTTTGTACGGAACCTCGCAGGTGAGCAGTTCCCAGAGAACTACACCGTACGACCAAATATCGACCTTCTCCGAACAGGGTTCCTGACGGATGACCTCGGGCGCCATCCATGCGACAGTACCCGCGAAACTCATCGGCGCCGAAGTCTCTCCGAGGGTTTTGCTCGTACCGAAATCGGTGATTTTCAGAATTTCGTTATAGCCTATGAGGATGTTTGGCGACTTCAAATCTCGATGTATGATCTTGTTGGTGTGGAGATACTGCATACCGGCCGCGATGTGCTTCGACCACTCGACCACGATGCACGGAGCGACGGGCCGACCATTGTGCAAAACGTCGTACAGCGAGCCGTTCGGACAGTACTCCATTACGAGGCAGTAGCACGGCGCTTGGCTGCAAACACCCTTGAAACGTACGAGGTTCGGATGGTTCAGTTTCTTCAGATGCCTTATGTCGGTCTCGACGAGTTTGTTGACTTTTTTCACAGCGACGTCCTCGCCCCGGTAGCTCCCCAGGAAAACTACACCCTGAGCTCCGGAGCCCAACCACTTGACGTCTTTGATATTCTCGAACGGAATCTCCCATTGGTCGTTGACAGCCTGTTTTTCCGCCTGCCGAGTGTTTATGACGTTCCACATCGGTCTCAAACACCCCAGCAGGCCTCCGAGCCAGGTTGAGGGCGAGGCTCCGAAACCCCCGACGATTCCGGTTTTGTACTGACCACCGTTCATCTGGTACGAGACGTGGATATCTCTTCTTGGAACGCTCGACTCCAGGGCTTCGACCCCTTGCGAGAACTCCACCGAGCTATCGAACGAGTCTCGACTCGTAGGGAACACCGAGTCCGGAGTGAGGATCAGCTCCGACTTGAAGGAAACTTCGAGGCTGGGATTGAGGAAAAAGTCCTGACAAAACTCATCTTCGATGTTCTTTTCTCCGTCTTCTTCGGGCGTTGCGGAGGGAGTATTCCGGTTGTCGGCATCCATTTCATTGATCCATTTAGGTCGACTCCGAATGTCAATGGCAAGTCGAGCGCGCGGCCTTGTCCTCAGACTTTCCCTCTGTCTATTGATGTTATTGGATTCACTCACGAACGTTAGGCCTAGCACCGATCCGGAGCCGAGCAGGACTTCTTGAGATGCGGACACTAGGCGGGGGGAGCGCTGGAATTCCGGCTGTCGAGACACTGTCAGTGTTTCCGGTACGGTTGTGCGGGACTCCTGGATGAACTCTCGAACAGAAGCACCGCCACCACCACAAGCTCCCACAACACAACTCGCAGTCTCTGCTGTGACGTCAATGGTTGTAAACAACACTGGATCGTCGCTGCTCCATGAAGCGAGAGGAGGGCGCCGTCCCCGGGGACAGTTGTTGTCCCCGATGCGAATGAACGCATTCTATGGCGCACAGCGGCGAGCTCCCTCGCTCGCTCATTTAAGGGTAGAGCCGAGAGGCGAACTCGAAAGATTCCGCGAATTCTACTGCTGATATCGATCTACGACTGCTGTGCTACTTAGTCGGTCACATACACAGCATGGTCAATCCAGCCCGCTCCTCACCTCCTCATCTCTGTCTCTCATATCATGGACCGGGTATACTATCAATTGTATCCATGGGCGAGCCCCATTTCGCTACAGAGATAAGTAGCGATAAGTAGTTCCTCAGAGAGAGATCCTCCCACTCTTCGGCGACCCTCTCGGTCTTACTGGGTAATACCCGGTCAATGGAGCGGTACCGATGCGTGAGAGGTATTACATTAGGAGGGGAGCCGTCCGCCGACGCCGGCGTCACGCTAAGGGCAGAGACCTGGGACGCGGAATCGGATCTAGGCTGGAATGACACCCGAAACCCATGGGCCCGAAGAGCCCCCTTCCGAAGCTCATCTCCGATAGCGTGAACAACGTTGAATGAATAGTCGTTCCTCGGCGAGTCTCCCCCCTGCGGATTTTTTTGGATTGTTCGTTCGCCGTTCGTTCAACGAACGTAGTCCTGCTCCGCGACTCAAGACTGTCCCGAGGGGAGAGAATCCCCGGATTCTTCGGCGATAAAAATCAGATGCTGGAGCCGCGCCGGCCTGAATTCGGGCATCCGATGCTTCCGACCGAGTTGGCGCGAATGAAGTAGGTAGGAATAAGGGCGCGGAGAAAGCAAAAAATCACTCTGAATCTATTTTAAGCTTCACTATGTCGCTGTCATATTCCCTGGAAAAATACTCTGGATTGCGAGACAGAATCGAGGGGATCTCCCAAGGCATCCTCAAATATCGGAACTTGAATCCACACGCCCCTCGGCGCGAAGGGAGAGCTCCGACCGGATCGAGGATCTGGGATGTCCATCTTAACAAGCAAAGCTTCCTTATCTCAAATCTTAACGTATCCCTCTCTCGAGGGTCCCAACTCGTATGATACAATATGGCACAGATACAGTGTAATTCATCAACGATCGATATCTCGGAGCGAAGTTCAGCGCACAGACTGCATATAGGTGACCGTTATTCCCCTCGACAGATTGTGAGTTCTTGAGTGTGCTGCGAGGACCACCGCATTCCGGAATTTCTTCTCGCAGGTTTCACATTGGAAATCGTCCGTCGGAGACGATGATGCCGATATCACTGCGGTTCGAATTTTTTCACCTGAAATTCAAAGCCAGAATGTTTTTAGGAACAACACCGTATCGATTTAATGAATAAAGCGTCGTTGAAGACGCTTCAGCAGTGGAGGGCGTGCATGCTCCCTCCCATTAGATCCTCGAAGCGAAACTCACTTGCGGAATCACTTCCTCTCAAGACCATGTCAAGCGACAACGCTTCCTGTCGCCTCTCTGAGACGGCTCCTGGAGACTCCGGAGAATTGTTTGATCGGTCGGCGTTGCTGTTTTTGTTCGGTGATGAAGACTGGAATTGATCGTCTGTGAGAACTTCTGATCCATTATCCATATCTTCCTATCTCCAAAAAGAAGAGAAGGATTTCCTACCGATTTTTCCGGGGTGGGTCCCGGCTCGAGTCGATCTTTGAGATCCGAAGCCTCCGCGTTCTGAGCCTTCGCTATCGATTCCGGCTGATCTTCCCGGATCTGAAAGTAACATGGACGGTCAGATCGAGCGTTCGAAGCAATACGGGTCAGCACGGCCCCTCAGGACAGAATCCGGAATTTTTATACGTCAAAACGCTTCCAACCATCGAGGAATACATACCGGAGCTTTTCGTCGAACTACCTGCTGCTGATGCTGCCGACGATGGATTTTGAGACCGTTTTTCGTGTGAAACTCCAAATTGCAATGTTCGCAGCTGTACATCAGGGGCTTTTCCTTTTTCTTCCTTTCGGCGTTCTCGTGTCTTTTTTTGTGCGCGGCAAGATTCGACGCTGTTGTGAAGAAAGCTCGACAATGGTCGCAGCTGTATGGTTTTTCTCCGGTGTGAGTCCTCAGATGGCGAGTCTGTGGAAGAATTCGAGTGCCTTGACTGCTTTGAATAAATTCCTATCGGACCCGAGCCAGGTCTTCTCGCCTTACAGACTCTGGCCTCACATCCAAGAACTGTGCAGAATTTCTGAACGGAACACGAACTCACCAAGGTCGTGTTGAATCGGAAGGCCCTCTTACAGTGGTCGCAGCTGAAGGGTCGGTCGGCATCATGAGTCTTCTTATGGGCGTACAGCGTCGAGGCGGAATTGAACCGTTTCTCGCAATGATTGCACTCGTAGGTTTTCTCTTTGCTGTGACTCCGTACGTGGACTTTGAAGTTGGCCGGATCCCGGAACTGTTTCCGACACTCGGGACATGTGTACGGCATTTCGCCGGTGTGTTTCCTCACGTGAACCTTGAGTGAGGTTTTGTGCCGAAAGCGTTGCGGGCAGTATTTACAGGCGAAGGGTCGAGCCCCCGTGTGAATATGAGTGTGCCTTCTGAGATGGAACACGGAGCTGAAGGACGCCCCGCATGTCTGGCACTGGTGCACTTGTCCCGACCGTCCTTGGGGTTTATCGGCGGAGACAGGCGTGAGATGGGCCTGTATCAACTGAAATAATTCCGAACAAACAATCATTTCGTGAGCGGAACGCCTGTCGAAGTAGAGGGTGCGGGAATCAGCAGCGGGGTCCGAAATCGCAATCTCCGGAACTGGCATCACCTTTTTTTGTTGCACCGACGTGACAATCGGATTCGATTCTGGTCTTGTATTCGAGTTGACTGGCTCTGGCTGACTGTCTTCGAGCTTGACAGAGCACGCACTACTCTGCGACGTGACCTGCTCGGTCACCGGGTTCTCCTGCACGACCTCTTTGAGAATGGCTTCGGCATCTGAGTGTTCGACGGCGGCCAATATCTCCGTCCCTATCTCCACCCCCTCTTCCACTGAAAATCGGAAGATTCTCACATTGATCCTGCGTTCCATCCTACCTAGTATCGGACCCCTGTGAGAGCAGCAGGCCCGGGTTCGTAGCAATACCCCCTTAGCCCCGCTTCAAATTGGAAGCTATTACTTTGGATTCGTACTTTCGGCGCTCTGCATGGTGATGTCTTCGAAGCTCTGGCTCAAGCAATCGGATTGAAGGAGCCACAGTTCACCGCGTTCACCGACTCGGTACAGCACTGATTTCCCCTGCCTGAGCTGCTCGATAGTGTCCGGCGGCAGACGAACGTCGATCTCCGATTCCGTCGCTGGCGCCATTGGACAAAGGCCGCCGTCGGTCATCTGCGGACGGATCTGCTGATTATTCCGAGTTCTCGCCCGGTGCAAACAGGATCTTGATAATCCATTTCGGCACCGAGGCGACTCCTACCTGAACAAGAACTTGTTCCGCGGGTGCGGTTTCCGTCGCGAGCATACCACCGACTTCCTCGGCGTCGACATACTCGAGCTGAAACGAAATTCTTATGAGATCCCATGTCATTGCTTCGCACATCAGTCCCATCAAGTCGTCCGCTTCCCGTAAGCTTGGAGAGGTGCGAGAAGCTCGACACCAATGTGACATCTACGCGGCTCCAGAAATCGGTCGACATTTTGACTTCGTATGAGGTTAGCGATGCTATCACAGGGAAAAACGTATAGAGACGTTATCAATGAAAGATTTCCGGAGACGAGTTTCCGGAGCCCTGCTTCCCCTATGAGGATGCTTAGGATTGGCGGCGAAAGTCTGGGAGCTTTGCTGCGGGCGATGGATTCGATTGGGGTTGACAGTGCTCGAGGAATAGAGCTGCGTTTAGTCGACATCGAGCCGAAGGGGTCCTTCCCGTATTTCTTCGGCGACTGGGAAAGTTCGAAATGGTGTCACCGTCGGGAATTCGGAGATCCCGTCGGGTGGAGTCGCGAGATTTTCCGCCTTCTGAGAAACCCATCGATGTCCGCCTCGATCAGAATGAACGCTCCATCTTATCAAATTAGTTCTGGTGGAGTACGGGTTGCGATCAGGTTCCCCTCGTACGTGTGTCCCCTCCATAGAAAATCAACCGTTCCCGGTTCTATAATTCAAAAATCCAACTGAAGGTTGGCCACCTTCCATAGAAATATGCGGCCGTCGGCGACCACAGACCGATAGTTGCCAGACTTGCAACGCAGCAGTACCACCAAGCAGCACGCGAACCAAGATGGTGAGCGCTAGCAGAGATCACCACACCGCCACAACGTACCTCGCCTGATCTGACGTCCATCATAGAAGCGAGTGTTCGCCGGGGTAATCCAGGTGAAAATGTCAGGTCTCCACCTTCGTTCCACTAGATGACGACTCGGTGAAATTGTCCTTTTAGCATGTTTCCGAAATTCTGACGGTTGCTCGGCTATTGACATGTCCAACGCAGCTGTCCGCTGTATGTGAACAGCGATGAGTGGTGGCGCTGCCGTCGCCGCTCTTGTCTGGTGTTGTACATATTCGAAGCGCGGTCTCGCAGAAAGACCGAAGATCGGGAAGATCTGGCCTCGATTCCGTGGATGGCCGGAAATAACATTCGGTCTGTAGATTATCTATGTGTCGTAGCCAACGGTCTCTCGGGTTCTTTCAGACAAATCGGGGCGGAATCGATACTGTGAATGAGAAAACCGACGATACTCTGAGCGGATGGCTTGACGAGAGCTCTTAGACGCAGCTAGTGAACGAGGGATAGACCGCTGATTCAGCAAACGCAGAATGATGTCTGTCCACGGTGGCGGGCAGATGTGACGGGGATAGAAATCGCACTGATGTCAATTAACCCAGAGAGACAACTTGATGTCCTCAAATATATCAATCGAGCTGCCCTCATGAGCATAGCACTTCCACAGGATAAGCAATTCGATGAGGGATCGATTCGTTCCCACCATGAGCTCCGTATATACTTCTTCTCGAGCTCAGCTATGGGTCATATTGAGAAAAAAAATTGTAGACCACGTTATCCGCTTTATTCCAGTTTCTGATAATTTATTCGGTATCAAAAAAAATCCTGAGCAATCTGGAACGAGTGACAGACGAACAATTCACGTCGACAACAACCAGGACTAGATGGTGCAAATGGCTCAGGATAACGGACGTTTCGGGATCGGGGATTCGGTTCAGACAGATGGTTTGCTTTGGGGAATCACTCCCCGGAGAGCTTCCGTTGACGTCGAGGAAGAACCATGTCGTGAGAAGAATTTCCTGTAATCGCAAGTGACTCTGTGATTTTCCCGAAGTGAAAATAGAGAAAATATGTGGGGGAGATCTCTTTAGGCATTCCCGTCTTCATATGGAATTTCATCGCTGTACAGAGAGGGATGGCAATGAGTATGATAGCCTTCAACTGTGATAACTCGCCTTTTCATTCTTTCTTCTTCGCTGCTACGTCCTTAGCGTCTTTGGAACCTCCACTTTGAGCATCACCTCCCTTGTTCAGAGCCCGGGAAATGGCGTCCCAGATCCCACCGAAGAATATCGCACAGGTGAGATTTTCAAACGGCAGGAAAGGATCGTGGAGACCGAGGAGCATTGAGCTCAACTTGAAGTAAAGGAAGAAACAAACTACCCCGAAATAAACCAGGGAATGCGGGGCAGAGATCAAGTCAGTCTTCTTGTCGACCACGAAGACGATCGATGCGATAACGCAAATCTTCGTGGCGAACGAGGGCTGCATGATCTCAATGGCGTTCGGCGTCCAGTAACCGCGGAGGAGTCTCTCGTACACTTTCAGGAACGAAGTGCCGTTGCCCTTGATGACTCCTATGATGACCATGATCAGGTATCCGTTTGGGTACAGCTTGGCAGCATGATGAACTCCATCGTGGACTTTCTTTGCTCGAGTGATTTCCTTGGCTAGAGACAGGAGGAGTTTCACCGGCAGTAGTTTGCAGAATTTATAGACGACGTCGAATGGCGAGTAGAACATGAGATACCTGCCGAAGGCAAATTTCCAGTGTTAACATTCGATCGAGTTCTATACGTGACGGAACAACAATGCGAAGCCTCACGATCATCTGTCAGGTGGATAGAATAGCAGCAGCAGCATCATCATCTCACAGGGAATATCCGAGGGCTCACCATACAGCACTGGCTAGAATGAGACTTTGGTTGTTCTTGAATGCTGACAGGACGGGTTCGCCCAACAGGAGGGCAGAGAACATGTATCCGGCGAAGATGGAAAACATGGAACTTATGTAGCACGATAGCGGATGTTTCCGAGAGAACAGATGCGATCCTGGAAAACAATTTTTCAGGGTCAAATCGGGAGCGGGGGGTCAGAGAGATTTAGGTGACACTCGAGAGTGGCCAAAGATAATAGGTAGCGGGCTGCGCTCCGGATTGGAAGTTAGAATGTGCGTGATCGCTTGACTCGGTCGTCCTCAGAGGAGCGGCGCGTGTTCGCGGCTCTTCCCATCGACCAGTATTATTTCTGAGGGTCTCAACTCGGTACGAGAGAGCTGGTTTCAATTCCGTTCGTTGATACGAGTGAGCGCCGCTCGCCATTAGTATGCAATCTATGCCCTTATATGCAAGCCTCTAAGAAGCAGCTCAGCTGAACGGCGTCGAGGCTCTGCAGGGAAATCATGGACCCTCCGGATGGGCCGTGAGAACGCAGGTCACTGAATTAGTCGGAAACTCGAGGAAACCGCGATCCCAGGTCAATGGAACTCATCGGAGCTCAGATCCTACATCTTAGAATAGCATGCTCGCCTGGAGGAATTCGAACATGAAGAATTTAGAACAGTCGTGATCTCGGATCGGAAGCTTGCCAAGCGTATCGAGCGCCTCACTATTCGACTTTTCGGAATTGATATACAGAAGGCTCGCGATCTCACGCATGGAGCGGGATTCCCTGAAGCTCGATCCTCTGGAACATGCTCTCAATCTTGGTCGAAGTAATTACTCACCACTGGCGAGGTCCTCACGGAGATACAGCAGAGTCACTGCACAGTGAGCGATCTCGAAATAAGGATACATTTTGAGCTTGCTGACATGGTTAGCCACCTCGAGAAACGTTTCTGGATCCATGGTGTTCCCTCCTGTTCGGGAGTGTCCAACAGCTCCTCTTCAAACAGAGGGTCACTCACAAGACGACCAACGCAGAGCTGGCTCTCGGAGAATGTCTCCGGCCGAGGGTAGACTTCTCTAGAAAATGCTTCCGAAGGATACAGAGAGTGTCATGACAAATAACGAGCGTATTTTTGACGAATCCCAGGGAGCAATACGCCGAGGAGCCCCTCTGGCGCGGAGCAGTCTCTCCATCCTCCAATGGTGGAAATCGACTCCAAATTCCAATTTGACCAGATTCCTTCGAATTGCTTCTCCGTCGTCCCGCGATTACCGACTAGTTGGCACAAAGTTCTCCCCTGGAATTTCTGGCTCAAAAAGTCGGACGAAATTTTCGGAGACAGAGAGAAAAATTGGAGCCAAATCTGCTCAGCGTTGGGAAATACCGCACGTCGGGGTTGGATTTCAGCCCGAGCGGCGGTACACAACTCGGGTGGTTTCGACATCCGTCGGGCCTTTCTGCTTACCGAAGCAACATGGACAAAATCACGCTGGCACGTGTAAGTTAAAATTTCCGTTTTTCATGTGATAGCGGCGAATTGAACCGGGATTTCCGTTCGTAGACCATTGGGGAATGGACCTCCTTTGGTACAGTGAGCATACGAGAGGAACAAACATCTCCAGTCGCTGTTTGGGAGTCCTTTTGTGATACCACCCTCGAGAAGTTTACCGTGACGTTCGATAGGAATATATTGTCGCGGTGCGCCTCGGAGAGCGCTCGGCTTTCATAATATTCGCCATTCGGAGATTGCTGGAGGCTTCGCAATTGAGCGCACACTGTGCCATTCACATGGAAACCTTTCGCCAGTTCGTTTACCAGTGCTAATCTAAAGGTACTTCCACTTTCAGGTTACGAAGGTGCTTGGTCGTACCGGCTCCCAGGGACAATGTACCCAGGTCCGCGTCGAGTTCCTGGACGAATCTAACCGATCCATCATCCGGAACGTGAAAGGCCCTGTCCGGGAGAACGATATCCTGACGCTGCTGGAGTCCGAACGTGAAGCCAGAAGACTTCGGTAGATGCCCGATCTCGGAGCGATATTGGCCCGTTGAGATGTAAATAAATCAATCTCATCGCCCACAAACTCGATTCGTTTTCTGAAATTCGGAGTGAATCTCGCGCAAATATTCGTGTCCATCGCCAGACTCTGAAGTTCCTTTGAGGATAGATTTCGTGAACCCATGCCACAGAAGACCGCTCGAGTTTCGGGGTTCGAAGCGTCCGTACTCCTCTTTATTCTCAGTTCGTGGTAATCTATGTACAGATGGTTCCCTCAGATGGACTCGCAATCATCATCATTGAGTCTTGTGCTTGGTGCCCGACCTCTCAGCATGTGTCCTGTAGAAGATCCTATCTTGGTGTTGGAAGTGTCTACCGACAACGCAAGCGAAAAAAGATACAACGAAGGCGCAGCAGAAAGTTCGCGGCTCGTAGAGTTTGCTGAAGAAGTCGAAACCCACGTCCAGTCCGCCGAGATAGAACATGTTGCTCCCGACCGCCAACCAATGTAGAGGGCATTGTAGAATGATCTGGAGGAACTTCGGCAATGCAAGGATTTTCCTCTCCACGACAACCAGCGCAAAATTCAGGCCGCACCAGATCTGGACTTCCAACGAGGAGGAGTGCCAGAAGCAAACGAAAACGAAACAGAGCGAAGACGCAAAGAAACCTCCTCCGAGAGGGATGTAGATCGCCTCGAGGAACCAGAGATACAGACCACGGTCAAATGTGCGCCATACTTCAGCACCTGACGAGAGTCGCAGCGTGCATCGGGGTCTTTCAGGGAGCCACAAACCTTCGATACGGGCTGCCTCCTCCGCCAAACCGTATATCATCAGATACTTCACGTAGAAGTGAAGCATGAGTACAGCGGAGAATCCGAAGAACTCGACAGGACGTAGTTCTTCACGTGCAATGTGATAATCGATCCTGGTCGCCATCGGATAAACGGTGTGGAGCATGATCTCCATGACTGCGAACCATAGCAGGGCTCGACAGATGGAGATGCACGCCTGTTTGAGAGATTCTCGCGCAGATGGTGTTCTCTTCGTTTGGATTTGATTTATGAAATCATTATAATTCGTCACAGGACCGAGGACCAGACAGGGTAGATACAGGAAATAGCAGCACATCGAGGCGGTGCTTCTCTCGGCCGATGATGTGACTCCGAACGAAATGGCTCTGATCGCCGACCAAGCGACAGCCACCTCGAAGAGGAGCAGGAAGTTATTGTCTCCCAGCGGATTCCCCATCCATTTTTGAATGAGATCCGAATGGTACACCCCCAAGAAGACGATCGAGAGGTTAACAACATAAATGAGATGTCGGAATCCTAACTTCTGCAAGCAAACACTGAGGAACAAGATTCCGAAAATGAAGAGCGTACAGTACAAGCCGAAGGTCATCAACAAGAATGCCGTCGACACGAAAATCCTGCAGTATAAGTGAGACACTTCCGGTAGTGCGCGTATCAAAACATTTTGGAGGACTACCGCCGGCACCAGGGTCTTCAGCAGTTTAAGGAAAGCTGTCCATTCCGCATCGGAAGTGTCTTCTACAGGTAAGCCGCGTATCGAACTCGATGAGAACAAATCGTTTCCAAGATATAGGCGGAGGCTCGATATCCTCCCGAAGAACGCAGCAATGGCGTACAGAACGAACAGCACCCACAGCGAGGAGCTGACGGCGAAGACAATCGACCTGAGAAGATAATAGTTCGGAAATAATCGACAAGTCGATATTCATACGTGTCGAAGTTGAGTGATGGAGCCTAATAGGGAAGTGGCGGGGAATCGAAATCGATGCGGGGACTCCTTCCTCGTCAGAGAGTGATACTAACAAGGAGATGAATGATTATATCGTGGAAACGCATCGCTACGATTCTGAACAAACCTTCTCATGGCAACGCTGGTGCCGGAGTCAGCTCGTCAGAAACATTGGCTCCTGATACGGTGGTGACATTGGCGCATATTCTGTATAGCTTCCGAATAGTTTTCCATCACATGTTGTCGACGAGATGGAATCCGAAAAACGGCGCAAGTCCACGGACTCTCCACAAATGCTCCTCGCTGAACCGCATTGTTTGGCGAGTCGCCCTTTCTCAAACCGAAGCACCGAAAGCATGAGATGATGCTAGCGTCTGTTACGGACCCCGGCTAGGAGAGGAGCCGCTCCAGATCGAGACCGGAATCATTCGCGCGACAGCATCGCCTGCCGCGTGCTCATCTTCCCCCGCAGATCTGACCGAAGGCGAGGCATCAATCTTGAAGTCAGAAGTCTGATTCATTAATTATTACGATGATTCGGTGGAATCAAGGGATATCCGAAGTCTTCCTTCCGAAGGTGATCAGTTCAGCAGGTACGGAAGGTCATCGCGCGGAGATTGTCTTCCTGCCCGATTTTCCTGTCCAAAACTTCAGACAGGAAAATCTTCCCGGTTTTTTTGCGAGTGGCAGCCGCCTTGCCTGGTGCTTTCCGGCCTTGTTTTCTCATTGAGTTGCTGAACATTTCCTCTAGGCTCTGGGCTTACGCAACTTAGAAGCGCAAATACGATCCTGGGGCCATGATCCATGTCCGTCGTACACATCTCTCAAGGCTCTGAGCCCAAGTTCCTTCCCCCCCTCCTTTCCCCAGCCTCAAAGGTAGGGGCGAGGGGGGAAGACAAGCACTAGATACTGAGTTCCGCTTGATTGCATTGGGCGAGCGAGATCAGGGGATGATATATCCTTTATGTTTGGAGAACTCAGTCCTCCGAGCTCGGAAACTGACTGGGCGTGTTTTCAAGACGCAGCAGTCCGCTCTGCTTGCTTCCCTGACCCGGGCTCATGTCGGCGAGCAATATAAATAGAAGTTACATCGCATCACCTTCGGGGATCGGATGAAAGTCTTTCAAGCATCACTGACAAGGAAGAGGCAAGTCAGTGGCAGCAGCTCATTTTCAAACAGGCGCGCGCACGTCGCTTCTCTCCATCGCCTGACATCGCCTGTTACCTTTCTCTCTGTGTGCCCGCAAGCGCCATTTCTACGTGATAACTTTAACCTTGCCACGCACTTGTTGGCTTGGATTAGTTCCTGAAACAACGAACCCTCGAGCACCTACCGAAATGGCATCCCCTGTCAGAGTTGTTATCACCGGAGCCGCGGGTCAAATCGGCTATTCTCTCGTACAAATGGTTTGCCGTGGCGACGTTTTCGGACCCACTACCGGCGTGATCGTTCATCTGCTTGACATCCCTCCGATGCTCGAAGCTCTCGGAGGACTTGTCATGGAACTCGAGGACTGCGCGTTCCCCTTGCTGAAAGGTGTTGTGGCCACGGCCGATGTCCAACAAGCATTCAGTGACGTGGATGCGGCTTTCCTTGTGGGGGCCATGCCTCGCCGAGAAGGCATGGAGCGCAAGGATCTGCTATCTGCCAACGTCAAAATTTTTAAAGCTCAGGGTCAGGCTTTAGACCAATACGCGAAGAAGAGTGTGAAAATCCTCGTCGTCGGAAATCCGGCAAACACCAATGCCGCGATCTGCTCCAAGTACGCGCCGTCGATTCCGAAGGAAAACTTCACCGCCATGACTCGGCTCGATCAAAACCGCGCTTGCGCTCAGATCGCCAAGAGACTCAACAAGAGTGCGGAACAAGTGAAAAACGTCATTATTTGGGGGAACCACTCCTCAACGCAATTCCCGGATGCTTCCGCCGGAATAATTTGCGACGATTCCTCGTGCCAGAAAGTCGTGGACGCTATCAAAGACGAGGCCTATCTGAACGGGGATTTCATAACCACGGTCCAGAAGAGAGGCCAAGCCGTCATTCAGGCCCGCAAGCTTTCCTCGGCTATGTCAGCCGCCAAGGCTGCTTGCGACCACATGAGAGATTGGTGGTTCGGTACCAAGGCTGGCGAGTTCGTTTCGATGGGTGTCATCTCTGACGGCAGCTACGGGGCCGCCAAGGACGTAATCTTCTCTTTCCCAGTGGAGATCAAGGACGGTCAGTGGAAAATCCATCAGGGTTTATCGCTGACGCCATTTGCTCAGGAGAAGATCAAGATAACTAGTGACGAGCTCGTCGAAGAGAAGGAGGCAGCTCTGACCGTTTGCCAGGATTGACTCGCAGTCCAGTCTACGGCTAAGCTCTGAAGCTTCGAGTCCTTCTCTCTTTTCCGTGGTGCTTTCGGGCAATAACTCCGAGAAAATTCGTAGTCTTGGATGTCTTATCACCGAGAGAATTTTGTTCGGGAAAGACAGTACAAAAATGCTACAAACTATGTATTCGCTTGATTCTGTTTCCTGTCTTCTTCTGTTTCCTCAAATCCTCTTTTCTATTGATAGCTGTAGACAAATGGACATAACCTGAGCTGTTTGGATGAAGACTGTTACAAACCTCAACAAGGGAGTACACCGCTATCTGAATAAAATCACGGGTTTTATTCTTAGAAATAAGCATTTTCTATTTCGAGACCGGGCACTCTCGAACCAATGGTCCAGCAGAGTAAACACAGAGTCCCGACTCACCTTTGCTCTTCTATCAGGGCGCTCGACAAAGACAGTGGCAAGCGCGCGTGAGGGAGATTTTATGCATGTCGACGAATTCAGCTCATTACTAGAAATAATTGTCGCTCGAACGAATGTTCCCTTGAATTCGAGAGTCGTCACTGCGATCAGATCAAACAGCTTGCGGCTAGATGGCTCTCGTTTTCTTGGTGGAATTTACCGGCCATGAGCGGCGTAATCTCGGAGGCCCGAGGCTCTAGGTCGCCATAGATTTGACATTTACAACATCAGATTGAGGAGACACGATCTCTCGCTCGAGGAAACTGCAGTGGTGCCATCCTCGTGGAGCGGCTTCTGAAGCTGGTAGCACCAGCACACGACTCCTCGCAAGTAGTGACTTTGTAAAATGGTGTTTGACAGCGGGGTACCTTCTACGCTAGTTATTCTTATTCATACCGCGATTAGATTGTATAAATCCAGATAACCATTTTATCGCAAAAAGTCCTACCTGCCCGTCACGATAGCTCCAGAAATGGATTCCGTCTCCCGAGATCTGCAGTGTGTAGCGCCTCGCCATCGTCGCATCCTGAAGCAAACGCCCGTAGTCCCTCAATCGGCATATATTCGTGCGAGTTTTTGTATTCATCGTTTTGTGGAGGCTGAAATATTCGGATCAGGCGCCCCATCGACAAAATCAGGAGTACTCATGGCTCGAGCATCCCCTCTCTACCGCTACAGTCTTCAGGGCGGGAATGTGGGGCATGTCTGCAATATCGCTGTTGACCCAGTCGGATTCAAACTCATACTATAGAATTCTCGGCACTGCTAACTGACTTGCGGATTCATCGCATCTGCGACGCAGGAGTGATGATATTTGGTATCATTCGTAACTCGGTGACCCCGATTCCAAGGTTGGACTAGATGGGACTGGTTTTCCCTTATCGAATCACTAACCAGTTGCAACTGCACATTCGCCTATGCAGCAACCGCGGCCGAGAAGAAAAGTTGAGATGTATCTTCTTCCAAATGAATTTAAAGTCGATTTATTGAGAATAGTGCTCACTCAGCCAACAGTCAACACTTACGCTCTTGAATTTTAAAAACTGCCATCTAGTCTCAGGAATTTCTCACAATGAAAATGTGTGGTGATCTCAGTGACTCCCTGCTCTTCCAGTGGCATCAATAGACATAGTGGGATTTATCATAATGGATCCAGGGCAAAATTGGTTCTCTGTTGAGACGTAGAAGAAATAGTTCTCTCGTATATAGGTCTGCGCGTCGGGTTCCTTGGCGATATCAACAAATCCTTGCGTGATAAGTTCTAATCAGATAATTCGCCCGCTGTCGAAATCGGAACCATGGATTCTGTTGATGAGATCCCGAAAGAGGCTTCGCTTCTGCAAAAGATCTCCCAGGAGTTCCCTGCCTATCGGAGACTCGCCGAGAAGGATCTCGGCAGCGGCACTGACCACAAAATGGAAGTTCGGCTTCGCGAAGCCATTGAAGGCCGAAGCTGCACTGCAGGTGTAAGCTCCCATGTCTCTGAATAGGAGCCAGTCTCCAACTGCGAGTTCCGGCAGCTGGACTCCGTCGTGTACTTTATCAAGCGAGTCGCACGTGGGTCCCCACAGAACACTCATGAAACTCGGATTTGTACTCGACTTTCCCACAGCCACGGGTTCAGGATTGTGGTGATCGAAAACCTTGCAGTTGAAGCTGCCGTAGACGCCGTCGTTGAGGTAGTACATGAAACGATCCGTTTGAACGCACCGCTTCGCGATAACAGTCGCGTACAAAGCGAAAGCGGAAGCGACTATGAAGCGTCCAGGTTCGGCAATGATTTCGATGTCAGGGAACTCCTCCGAAGGGAAGGACTCGTCAAGTTGACGGTCGATGGCTCGAGCGCATTTATCGAAGAGCGTCTCACTCCCGGCGTTTCCGGGGAAACCGCCACCCAAATCGAGTACGTTCATGTCGAAGCCGTAGAGTGCGGCTTGATCGAACACGGATCGAGCGATTGAGATCGCCTCTTTGAAACTATTCGGCTCGCAGCAGCCGGATCCCACGTGGAAAGAAACCCCGACGATGTTGAGTCCGAGGTCGGCGGCTGTCTCTAGAAGGTCTGCAAGGAAAACCTCGAATGAGAGACTACTCATATTTCGATGAGATCGTGCGGATAATTGTCTAGCAACCGCAGAAGTTATCCAAAAAAAATCGCCGGTCCTAGCCCGAAAGTTGGACTTCGAAGAATGGATAGAAAAGGAGCAAGTTTGTCGTGAATAGTGTCTTACCTGGGACAACGGCGAGATCCGCACCGAATTTAGAGCTGAATTGCATCAGGGAGCCAGAGTCGTCGACCTTGATGCGAAGTATTAGCTCGGCTTCGGGATAGACTTCGGCAATTTTCTCCAGCTCAGCCATGTTGTCGAATGTCATTCGAGTGACGCCGTTCTTCTGGGCGTGGCGGATGAAGCTCTTGGTTTTGCAGGGATTGGCATAAATTATTCGGGACGGATCCACGCCAGTTTCCTTGAGCACGGTGTCGATTTCACTCTTGGACGCACAGTCGAAACCCAGGCCGAAATGTGCAAGGGTCTTGAGCACTTGAGGCAACGGGTTGCATTTGATGGCGTAGAAAGGCTTGACCCGCGGCAGTTGGAGGCGCCACAGTTTCACCTTACGACAGATGTCGCCCAAATCTACCACGTAGAACGGTTCATCTACGCGGGGTTCGGTGAGAAGGTCACCGACGGCCGCATTCACGTTCATGGCTGTCCTCTGCATCTTCGGTTTTCGGGGACGAAGTCGACGGACTCGCGGAAATTCGATCGCTGCAATGTGAAGAGATCGGGTTTCAATCGAATATAAGTCGATAAGCTTCGGAATCGGGGAGAGAGAATCGTTCTGAATGGGCAGGCTCTGTTAGAATGGAGTTCTTCGGAGAGGGGTCGTACTATGGGTTTCTCACAGTGAGGGTGGGACCGCCGCTCACGCGAGACTCGCACATCATTTCGAATTCTTTCAGAGGCTCTGATTTCGAGAATTTCGATTTTCGTTATTCTCGAATGCCCCTCAAATTCCCGAAATTCCCGCTTGAGGCGCTGGATATGATGAAGATCTGCTACGCCGCTCACGACTCGTCAGTGTATTTCAAAGGCATCTCGAAAGCGACCCGGGGGCGAGTGCCGCGACTCGGGTTTTTTAATCTATCGCATCTAATCATTCCATTGTGTCTATTTTCGATGCGGCTCCTTCCCGAGAGATAGCGACAGCGGCCCTCATTGGATGGATCTGTGCAATCGGTCTGAGTCACGATGGTTGGCCGAGTACGTCATAGAGTGCGACTCGTGGAAAAAAGGCTTATGAGAGACCGATCGGTGACATCATAAGGAGTCTATTCGGCCCCTATTTCGCGACGAGACAGCATTGCGGCAGGGAGTGATGTTGTTCACGATATGGGAAAGAACGTAGCCCAGCGTAGTGATTGCGTAATAGCAGGGACCCACAGCTGTATGAGTCGCATACTTTATTTCGGAAGCCCTGACTCCGAGCCAAATGGGTCATTCTTGGACCCTGTACTCAAGTTCACGCCTCTGGCGGAATGAGATAGAAGAGGGTCCCTAGAATTGGATCTTTTGCGAATCTATCGCATGCAGTCGCTGCGTATCCGTGCCAGCTCCAAGTGCAAAGTTACGAGATCTTTGAGAATTTAGGAATCAGCATCGAGCGTAATGCTTAGCTCGGATGATGTCACGCGCAAAGATTCAAAATGACCTTTGATTTTGCGACTCCAGATGAGATAGCCGCGAGATTCGCCGCTTATCCGGCATGGCAGCGAACCGAGAAGCGGCTCGCTAAAGAAAGCGACCGCCTCAGGAAGATCGCGAGAGAGTCGCAATCGCCCCCTCTTCGTCCTGAGATCAGCGACGGATGAAGTGTACTGACTGGGAGCTCGGTTGAGACTCGAAGCCTCGTCGTGAATCGAAATCTCAGGATTGACTCACCTGTGATCTGAAATCACGTCGCCGGTTTGGTCGTATGCGACAGATGATGGTCACTGTTTGCGACGATTCCGAGTTCTCCAGCAAGGATTAGGAGAACATCAGAGCAGACACACTCTTTTTCGGAAAACACAGCTGACGGATTGAAGGACGTAGTCTCGAGATTTTTTCTTCGTCGTTTAGCTCGCTGGTAGCAGAAATCCCGATAGCTGGGGGTGTGGGGAGACCGCCTCAGCTATCCAGTACTACCACACCATGCAGAGGGGGACCTTCTAGGACTCAACGGACACACGCCACCAAGACCTCGAAGAGACTGACCCGCTGCCAACAAAGATGGCGCTTAAAAACCGAACGGCGAGAGCGTTCGAGTGAGGAGGTGTATAAGATGCTGGCTGCCCGAAACAGCGACGGCCGAACGCTTGACCAACTGTCCATCGTTCTGTCTATCTTGGTCTCTCCGCCGCTGGCTCGCTGATTCGCTGCTCCTCGTCTGCATAAGTCTCTACCTTTGGAGTCTGCCGTCTTCCCGAGTCTCCCGCATCGTTGCGCGGCCGCACCATTGACGCTCTTTTTCAGAGTCCGTGGTCATCTCGACTACGACGAACTCATCCTCGAAATCGGTAGATACCGGATCGACACGCGGCCATGAGACCAGATGCCTTAAACGTAATCTGATTCCCAGTATTCAGGAGCAGCGTCGGATTCTGAAGAACCATCGAGGAATCGGTCACGCTTTCGGCAGAGGGCTCCGCGATCATGATGTTGATATCAGTACCTCGAAAGGAGCGTACATCCAAGCTTAGGCGGAGCGCTAGAGTTGTCGCTCGCATTGGCGCGAATGAAATCAGATCGATAAGGAGCAAGTATCCGAGCATCATTTTAAACACAAATTAGAACTCAACGCCGCCGGGAACTCTGATGCGAGATATCCATTCCGATCGTCTAATTTCAATGAGGTTAGAGCTCTTTGCAGTATGGACGCACCAGCACTCCGAAAAAATCTCCGAAAAGCGTGATCTAAAGATGGAAAATTCGGTGCTCGATTACCAACTGACGGTGGTTCGAAAAACTCCTCGAGGACGGAAATGAGACTATACGTCGGGGAATGAGCTCGTGTATTGGAAACTTTCCGAAATAGTCCTACTCCGCTCCATTCGCGGATAGACGGTGCCGCTCCTCATAACCCAAGGACACTACCGGGGGGAGGGAGGGATCCCGCTTTCTTTTCGGACCGCAGACGAGACTCACTTGGGACGGTTTGCGTCGCGATATCCGCCATCCTGTTCGATCAATGCGAATCGTAGTTCGGGTCATTCGAGTGTTCACGGAACTATTCCCCGTTCTTCTGGCCGCCGCGCGATGCTTCTCCACGCGCTTTTATACGGTCATATCTCATGGTAACCAGCATCAACTTCCAAATGCCAAAGTCCCCGTGGCACTTGTGGCTCTATGCAGTCAACTTTGCGGAGTCGGATCTGGTGGCCGATCATCTACAGTAAAGAGCTTAGGGTTTTCCTTCCCAAGATGCAGCCATTCCTGGGAAAACCAAAAACAGCCTCCAGCCCCGGTATTCCAGAACGCTGTTCCTGTCGCCTACGATGGAAGAACGTCCCATGGCTTTTCCGAAGGTCTCCGACCCATCGCGCGAGGCTTTTCACGCTGACCGAAGCGGAGTTCGGTCAGTGAGACTGAACGGAGTTTCTCCTTGATCCGGGAGGATCTTCGATTCCACGGCGCGCTTCCTGCTTTTCGACACGTGGCCGAAAATTCCTTAAATCATTCAGTACTTTGACCTCATTAAGCTCTCACGCTCTCACGTCTCCGAGACGTCAATGGTGTCTCGGATGATCGCGTGGTAATTTAGCGCACTTTGCACTCAAATCCCAGGATCAATTATGGCGAGGAAGAGCTCGCAGGAAGTATCGAGAGGTAAGAGCTCACGCAAATGCACTTTTGGGGCACGGTAAGTGTCCGTCGGTCGTCCACAACGTACTGCAATCATATCGTAAGATGCATATTATTTGTGATGGCGGAAATTATGGGTGAGCTGAAAACGGCGGAAACTCGTCGATCTCAGATGAAAGAGTCCACTCGTAAAACTATTCTCTGAGATCAGTCGTGGCCGCGCGAATCGGCCCGTTCAGGTCTGTCACCGGGCTTCATGAGCTCATTTGGACCGCGATTACACATATGTATGGCGTCGAGGGTCGAGGCTCTGGGTGTTATTCGGATCCCCGGAGGGAATATCTCGGTCCACTCAGCACAGTCATTCATTCCGGGCATAGTACTTCCTACGAAAGCTCCGACACCAAAACATGAAGTCATGAAATGAGATGTGGCGCATAATAGTTCCGAGTAGTGTGCACCAACTCCCACGATAAACAAGGCAGCGGAGCCTCATTTCATATGGAGCCATGAACTCGTTGAACTCAAGGGATTCAAGGCGAAATATCCATCGATCATCGGGATCGTCCTGGACCGGTCGACATTTGAGTTCTCGCTCGAGTTCCAACCACCAATGGAACGAGTGAAGTTCCGGGGCTCAGAGTTCTCCCCGCTGATCTTCCGCCCGTCGCTGTCTGAGAGGTTGGGACGCCTTCCCTGCGATCTCGGCCTATGATCGCGAGCTCTCGCGTAGGATCGAACCGTGAGGCCTTCGAAATTGCTAGGGGTGAAAATGTGTCTTTCGATGGCGAGATGGTCCGGGATAGTCTTCGGTTTAACGCTGAGCAGAATCACGCTAATCGCTCACCCCGAGCCCAGATCCGTTGATGACTCGTCTCTCGCCAGGCGCTCTGAGGTTCGATACGACGATCAAGTGCGAAGCGCGCATCACCCCGTGAATGACTCACGCAATAAAACTTTATAGGTGTCCTTGTGCGGATTCCAATCTGGAGATGCTTGATCGATCTGTCCCGAGTTCGCACTTCGCTGCGAGAGAATCGCCAATGTTTTTGGAAGCCACCGCTGTTTCGGAGCGGCAGAGAGTTCAAAGGCTTCAGCGCTTGACTACGAGATAGCAGAGCCAGCGCGCCATTGTAATCGCATCGCGAGCTGGGACTGACGGTCTCCCATTTGAATCGATTGATTGATCAAGTCACCTCGATGCACCGCAATTGGCTTCTGGATCTACCCAGCCTGATCGTCAGCTCATCGGGAACGGTCAATTCTGAGGAAGTATTTCAGTTTCGAGTAGTTCAATTTTACTAACAGACGACATTTCGCTGTTTCCTTCCGCTGCCTTTCCGCTCTGCTCCCTCGGTGACGCGCGAATGAATCTGAGCTGCTCACAGATATCCTAGATTCGCTCGATAAATCGACGTAACTCGTGTTGTTGGACAGCCTAGAATTCGCAAGGCCGTGAGTATGCGCTCCTCTCCGTGAGCATGTCGCAGTTTTTGGTGATCTTCGAAGAAACACGAGCAGATACAGTTTGAAAGAAGTTTTATTCGTGGAGATCCTCCATGTGCATGGTTGCCTTCATTCACGAAAATTCATCTCACACCGGCTCCGATGGACTGACTCGCCGACAAATGGAATCAGATTGTCGATCAGAGAGTCGTTTTGAGATCTCAAGTGTTTCGATGGATGATTCGCGGAGGTTGGTTTAAAAGAGTCGTTTTTCCTCTTGGAGCCGCATCGCAAGAGGAGAAGTAGCTTCACTATCACTCCGTATCTCGTACAGCATTTTCTTCCGTGAAACTCCCTCGGCTTGGCTCTTGGCTCGAGCGATTTGGTATACGCAAAGGTCGCCCTCGATCGTAGTATATGACACCATCCTCAGTGGATTTGGAGATAAATTCGAGCTGCCATCATGGGAACGACCCGATTGCTTCCGTCATCGCTCTCATTCGATGGAGCCCATAGCGAGCTTTGTTTGGAAGGAGACTCTAGTCGGCTCTCTGAGCTCCCCAGCATCGAATAGATACAATGCCCCCATGTTCTGTAGTCCTCGAAAGACGCGGCGGACGTCTTGAGGTCTCACACGCGGGAGCTCCAAGCATAAGGGTCTCGCTCTTAGCAAGCCAAGCCCGCGACGTGAACGCAATTCTCGGAACTTTCCTCGGTCGCTCCGTAAATGGAAATAATTGAAGTCAAGCAGTGGACCAACCTGTCGGTGCACTCGTATCTCATAACCCGTAAATGATAAATTTAATCAGTGGGATCTGGAAGTCCAAAAGCCCGTTTCCGGCCGTTGTATCTGGCTACGAGAATGAAGGATTCGAAGAAAGAGAGTGAGAGAGCTATTCCGCCGTGAACTAAGACGTCACCGATCCTTGAACCTGCGCTCTCCGAGGGCTGAATGCCTAACGCGATCAATGCGAGAATCGCTGTATATTCACTTCTCCATTGAAAGTTTTTCTTGAACAACGTTACCGACCAGAGAAAGATTCGGCAGAAGCGTCGAGTGATATGGAGAGCCCGAGTTTCAGTCTGAGACGGGAATGAGGTGCCAATCTGAGACTGCTCCCGTCCGCATTAGTCTTGTCCGATTAACGAGATTCGAGTTGGCCTCTTTAGGAGGCACGGCTTCGTGCCAGGCAGTCGATCGTGGTCGGCATAGAGCGCTACCTGCCTACGTTAGCTCACGGATTCTGGCCGAACTTGGTCGTTCGAACCGCAGGGCTCATTGAAACCTTCTTTTCAATCAGTCGTATTGCGTAGAGGGCGAGAAACAGGAGGCCGTGAGAGAGGGAGGAACACCCTTCTTCTTTACCCCACCACTGACCCTGAAAAAACCTGGATATCTCGAAAAAATCATCGTGCTCTTTGGGTAACTACTCTATACTGAACCTTTAGGTGCGAGTACGACTGTACAAGATTGAGTGGTCTCTCGAATTCTTGCTTTTTGCTCGGAAGCCTCTCGACGCGAGGATGGACTTGTCGCATGGACAAATGATTGCCTCACTGTTGTCTCACACGATTGGTCGGAGGCTCAATACTACCCTCAAAGCGTATCCTGGACAGCTCTCCCTATAAGGCTCCCATCAGATGTCGGATTCTTCAGCACAGCATGATTTGTTCGCTTAAATATGGGGAAAGAGATGGCGAGTCATTGCAAACGTTCGGTGTGTAACCTTTCAGGAATCTAGAGCGATATAGAGGCTTCGTAGGTTCCGAAGTTGACCCCCGTCTCGGAGATTGACCTCGTTGCGGATCTCCAAGAGGACTTCGGGCATCGATAGCGTTAAAATCGGTTTCCGTGTATGAAAGCAAGAGCTCATCGGCTTCACAGACCAATCTATATCTCAAAGCTCTTCTGCATATTCCTCCCTGATCGATTTGCCTCCGATTCGCGATCGCGATGTCGGGACAGTTTCTGAACGGCCGAAATCCCTTCGCGATCGTACGGAGCTCGGGAGATTCGTCGGGAAGCGAGACCGGAGTCCTTCTCGTTTGTGAAGCTCCGTGTTGTTCCCGAAAAGGCGTGTGTCGGGCCGTTCGTCATTAAGATCCATGGGGCTTCGGATTCGCAGAGCCTACGGAACCAGAGCTAGGTCGAGGTTGAACAAATCGGCTTCGCCTTTGCGCTGAATTCAAACAATGACCTGTTCTCCATGGAGTGAGTTAGTCTATTTCCACTGATTTTGGCTGTGATACCGATTCGTTCGGTTCTCCGAGCTTTCGTTATTAGGTCAGTTGCCCTGCGCGCTCAATTCCTTATCGAGAATCTGTCGGCGAGAACCGGTCAAGGATTTCACCTCCGAGCTTTGGTTCTCTTTTGATTGTATCTGCGGAGTGATCAGCTCACGCCGGGGCCGGGGGCCGAACCTGGGTCCCAGGTCCTGAGAGGGGTCGCTCTGTCCGCCGACAAAGTACCGCGAATGCTTGAATACGAGCTCAAACTTCCCCGATTCAGGAAGCTCTGCACGGGTACTCGCTCTAGGGAGGCTTCCCGGAGCCGGGCCGCTCAGTCATAGTGGGAAAGCCAAGACCCAAGTTCAATCGACGGCTTATCCGCGTCTGGGGTTCATTCTGAAAGAGGCCACCGTCGGAAAAATCGGGACCATTAAAATTTTCACGTTACAGTGATAATTAAGGACGACGTCGCATTTGTCCAAATACCAGCGCCGCTGGTTTGCGAGCTTCGATAGGGAACGATCTCTAATATCTTCCAGCGATTGCAAGCACAGCGGTATTCTCTCCCGGAGAAGTCTCAGGGGAGCCTTCCGTTCAACCGCCACCTGAGTCGTTTTGCATAAACGGCCGCTCCGTTGTCGAGACGTTCAATCAGCCATGAGATGAGAGGAATCAGATCCGCAAAGATCTCGCGGATCTCGCCTGCGAAATAGGAGGCTCTGTCAAAAGTCTGCGCTCGGCGCCCGGAATCGTCGCAGATAAGAGGCTCGCGCATCATCTAGCCCGCACTGCTGCAGGGAATGTCTCCTGAGATTCGATTCGAGAGTGAATAATTTCCGGAGTTCCTTCTCCTGTGAGAGTCAGCAGAATTCTTCCTACCTCGTGCGAAACCGGGCTCGTCGCCCGCTCCTGGAATAATTCCAATAATTTCTCATTCGCCTGCAGGAGAAGCAAGCTGACTTTTTCTCTAGAGCCCCGAGAGCTTTGCAGTTAGTCGACTGAGAGGCTCTCGACAAGTTTGTCCTCGCGCCGGGCAAATCTGATTCCGATGAATCATCGTAGCTCCAAGGAGGAAATCTTCAATATCAATCATGTCCGAGTTTTACATCCCGCTGTCACCCGTCTCCGACACCGCGCCCGCTCAGCGTCTCGTCGTTTCCTTTCTTGTCGAACAGCCTGTTCTGCTCGACATGGTCGCTGCCTCTGCCGTCGTCATCATGTCTTCAACAAATCGGAAGTATTTCGGCGAGCCTGGGAATTAATTCTGCTCCTGCCTGTAGCGTTTCATTCTCGATTGGCAATGACGAGAGCATGGATGCAGATTTCTTTCCTCTCGCGAGATGACGCATTCGGAAATGCCGAGAGTCTCTTCTTGAAGGCCCGGGGGATGGAGATCATTCGTGCAAAAATTAAGATAGAGATGTCTCCGCGTATCTAGAATTTATTCGGACTTATCGTTACCTTCATCTACGGTCGACAAATGATCCAGGGTTATATACAAGCACGAATCACTAATAATGAACCTCTCTCCTGCTCGCGATGGACCTGAAATGTGATTGAAAAAATGACTCCTGAGTGTGAATAGTCGTGAGCGTCCAAGACGTTGCCCTGATGGAATGAACAGCCCGGATGCCACATCTGTTTCATTCCTCGTCAGGTCGACTTCTCAACGGGATTCTCAAGACTTGTGTACATTGATTTGTATCGAGCGAGCGGGGGCATCGCAGATCGCGGGTTAGTGATTTGAGAGCCAATCAGGCATGAAATTATTTTTTTCTGATTCAGTTGTCAGGCTGATGAGTCAATCCGGGAGTTCCCAATAAGTCTTGGCGGAGAATATTCGGCAAGCAGACACGCATTCTTGCATGCGTTGAGAGAACATGAATACTGTCGGAGACGCGCAGCACTCAGCCACAATCGCGCTTTTCCGCATCACTCATCAGAACATTCCAGACGGATCCTAGCCAGAAGAGAATTCTCATTGACCCCTCCCCCATGGGACCCCGAAAGAATAGATTCCTTCCAAGATTAGCAGCATCGATGAGAGTGGCGATGCAGGCATATCAATGTCCGTGAGCAAGCAGTTAGCAAGCTAGGAGATTACCTATTCCCAAAATACTCGTAGACACCACAATCAAGTCGGTCGATCATCCTTTATCCCGGTCCATGACCCAGGTCCGGTTAGATGCGCATCATAATGTTTTACCTTGAGTGGTTTCGGTACTCGTTTGAAGCAGAATGGAGCGGCCAGTTGTTAGAAGCCAGTCATGATTGGATCGAATAAGGTGAAGATGAGAATGAACGAAGAAGCGGAAGAAAGAACACTGATGAACGAAGGTTTTGGCTCGGGCAGGGTAGGAGGATGGAAATTCGCACCTTCCGAACAGTTACATCGATTGAGCGGACTCAGTCGCGGAGGCTTTCCAGTTGCGAGTGGAGACTCCTGCATTTGTTATTCGATGCAGCGAGCTCATCGATGGTGTCGGCCAATCTCCTGTCCAACTCTTGACAGTGGGTCTGCAGCTCCTGCGGAAGATCACTCGTATCATCAACCCATATCACGAATCGTTCGGATCCGGAAGATTCGATCATCGCTATCGCACAAGGTGTAAATTATTCACGAACGGAGAATTAATTCACGTACGTTCATCAGCTGAGCCTGTCTGTGCAGTATCTTCTGGCATTCGACATTGTGCGCCTCGGCTTGGCGAAGCATCGCGGTCAACTCGGCCACGCGGCCGCCCATGATATCACGGAGCGCGGAGGCGTCCTGACGTGCACAGCGCTCTCGTTCGGCTATTCTGGTCTGGATGTCTTCGATCTCGGATTTGAGGTCCCGGCTAGAAGGGAACAATCTCCGGTCGGAGAAGTATGTGTTTTCTCGACGCCTGTACTCTCATCGAGATTGATAACTTTAGTCCGATCAGTAGGGGCTGGAACTTACATCGAGCCGGACTCTCGACGATTGAGCTGCCTCCTCGGAGTTCGAGCCCGGTCTTCGGCTGGGAAATCAAGAAGCACAAGATGTTTTAGGGGGAAGCTTTCCCACGAGAATCGGGAACCTGCCGTTGCCTACATTATAGCGCTAGCTGAGCAGGGATACCTCCGCGGTGGCTCATCCCCTATTGGTATTTCTACGGAAAATGATTCATAGCTAGTCATCGATTCTCCTCTCCTTGATCCTGTTCAGATGGAACGCACCCATCCTTTTTCAGCCCCGGGCGAGGTGAGTCTCTCCGGAGACACCGTGATATAAGGCTCGGAACAGCAGCAGCAGCTCCCAACTTTGCGGCTGGAGTCGCGTGTAATTTTAACGAGCTTATGATGAAATCGAGCTTGTCAGCAACGTCAACAATAGACCTTTCCGCAAGCTCATTTATTTCCGCTTTCAGCCGGCCGTAGACCGCTCTGCGCGTCGACCTCCAATCTCGGCCCGCCGGTTGGAGGTAACGCGGTAAATCCATCGTCATCATTTTCGAGCGCGGCGCATTTCTCCAGTTCGAAAGTCTCATCTTGCTCGATGTCCCAATCGATCTCTGAGGAAAAAGTGAGGCAGAGAGCTCTCTGATTCGCTCAGGATACCTGATGCTGTCGGAAAGGGCTCGACTCTCCGGGCTGCTATCCGGCGCGCTTCCAGCTTCACTAGCTGACTGACAGTGCGACCGGCGGCGTTAAGCTCGGCGACCTTGGAGATCACCGCCGCGGGAAACATTTCCTCCGACTAGCCTCGGTGTTCTCAGCGAACGCGAATGAGTGTAGATACTTTCATTTCATTGTCAGATGCAGTAATAGGCGGAGAAGTCATGACGAACTAATGGCTGTCGTGGATCTAAAACATGAGAAGTATTTGAGGGGAGAAATCGTCTCAGAATTCGGAGGGATTCCATACGGAGGCCCCAACGGAAAAAAACGCACAGAAAAAACCGAAAGTAGGTAAGAGAATATCGAAAAAACACACCAGGGTGATTGATTGTAGAGCTACGATGCACGCATGATACCTACACAATACCTAATGCGGGATCTCCTCGCAGCAAGAGGGTCGCTACTCGGATCCGAGGGGGAGCTCCGTGCAATTACCCTATGAGGAGACGTGAGCTAACCTCCAGTTGATTTATGAAAGCTCTGCTCGAGACTACGACAAGTTGTTCCAGCTCGCAAGTCACTCAGTCCGTCAGCCGCTCTTCGTAGACAGGCGGGTAAGCTGGCAGCCTGTTTGCTTGTGGACAGACAGGGCTTCTCGCGACCCACGACAGCCGGCTCTATAGCATGCAAAGATGTACGACTGTGAGCTGCTTGGTAATCACGGTTCGCACGTCAGCGGTCGACTCTGAGGAAGACCTCTCACACACGGAAGCGCTCTCACTTTCTCGGAAACCGCCCACATTCGGTACCAGGCCCGGTCCGTGTCGTTTCCGCGAATACTGCGGAGAATAGGCAAAAAAGCGGAAGTTGTTCCGCGCATACAGCTGTATTATTGTGCCAGTCGTTGCACCGCACAATGAAGATCAGCCGAGTCCCGTCTAGAGAGCGCTCATTAGAACAGGAGAGAGCCGCTACGACAAGAATGAAAGTGCTCGTTGAGGTTGATGAACAGGCGGACGCATTTGAAAACAAGCGAATCATTGTATATACTTGCTCGTTCCGATAATAATACCCGTCTTCGGTGGTTCCCATTCGCGAGCACCTTTTTTTCCGCGCCGCTCTTTCCAGTACCTCCGGACCCCGGTCTTCGAGAAGGGTAAAAACTCCACGATATCTTTGGGAGGATTTCTTGACTTCGGTACGGAGGGTACCCCAACAATTAATCCGTGCTTGGTAATAGAAAGAAATGCTTGCCGACGGCATCAGATGAGAGAGTGAGCGTCATCGAGTCATCTGATTACGAGCGGTCGTCTTCTCAATTGAAGTGTACTCCTCCTATTTTTACACTATCCCAATGCTCCGCCGTCCTTGTCCGTCTTTGTCCCTTCTGGTGCCCCGATAATGGCACGGAGTGCGAGCACCCCCCGTTCCCCTCCCCTTCAAAGAAGCAGACGTCGAAGCAGACCCGCTGCGCGTTCGACGACCGTGTGATCTGCACGAAAGACGAAATAATCCTGAATCCACTCCACGCGAGTGAATTTGGAACAGGGAACTCACTCAGATAGCTGCCGCTTTCCTCGTTCAAGGCAGCCGCCGATCGATTCCGGCTCAGCTGTCGTTGCTCGTGCAGATCTTCATACAGAGATTTCGGTCTCGATGAAGCCCTTGAAGAAGACCCATCTCGTCGCATAGTTGCTGAAACATCGATGATAGAGGTTACGGTGACTCGTGTGAAGGACACTTCCTCGAATTCGATGTCGCTTCAGATGTCAACGAACGGTGCTTCCATTGAGCGACCTGCGGCATCATTGAAATCCCCAGAATCATTCAATTCGATCGGTCGCAGAGAAAATGAAGAAACTCTCCACGTGGACGGAGAGAGAGGATCTGCTTCGGAGATTTCAGTGACGATGTCGACTACACTCACTGGAGCTCATGACACAGTGGAATGACACAGCACAAAATTCCTCGGCTCATGCTGCACCTGGATGAATTAAAGAGGCTTGCTCTGCTATGACGAACCGACGCACGGCAGCTACGGCAACGAGGACGACATGAGCCTAATTGGGAGATGTCTGACCTTGCAGGATGGAATTCTCTCCGAAAGAAGGCAAATCCGGTCTATCCGGACGGAAAGAGGTCCTGCCCAGCGAACCTGTGTAGCGTCTCTCGCATTCATCGAGAGTGGGTTCGTAGAGAGCGGTTCCAAACTTATGGTTGTCTCGGTATATGAGAGTCAAGGGTCGTTTCCAATTAACCATCTGCAAGCATAAAGTAGGTTTATTCATTGAATTTCGGCGGAAATCTATGTGCAAGCCTGCTCGCTCTGTCCGCGAAATTCTTATCTGATCCGAATGGAGTGGGTACGCGAAGACTCTAGTTGGGCACACTCACTCTTTCTTTTGAATGGTTGGGTTTCGGGCTGAAATGGACGGGCCTAGGCTCTGCGACGAGATCGAGAGCAGTGTACTCGAGCTTTACCTCAGCATTTCGCCTGTGAACTCACTTGCCAGAAAAAAGAGAGGGCGCTTCGTTGCAAGGGTCAGAGACTCTCGTGAATGTGACCGAATCAACTTACCGAACGCTCGCTGTCTATGCATTGGTCCGTTCGACTGTTTTTGAGGATAGACCTTTGTTAGTAGGCGGTCGTAGGTACTAGTACCACTGAGCGATCGGGCATTCGTTGTACCATCATCATTCATCGGCGCGTGCAGTATCCTCCTTACACCCTGAAGGAATCAGCTGCGCGAGAAATACTACCATTGATTCATTATCGGCGGGTCACAGCCTCTCCCGAATAAACCATATCAGAAGCATCAAGTCACCGATTCCGATGCAATTCGAATCAAGAGGGGAATTCGTCGCTGAAAAGTATCCGAATCGATCTCGACTCGTCGAGCTTTGCTGGCGAGGTCGCTCAACACAATGGAAATTCAAAATTGAACAATTTCCGAGCGAACAGCCGACACGACAGCTACTGTGTTCGCACGGCCTTGAACCGAGCAGATTGGAGCCGGAACACAGACGCCTAGTCGGAGCTCAATCGATAGATTTGTTAGATTGGCATTCGACGCTCCCACCGTCGTTCGTTCGGTCAGCGTGACTAGCGGTGGACTTCGCGATACCGGCTCAACTCAATAGCTCCGGGATGCAGTCGTCGGGAAATTCGATTCCTATGAACTTTGCGAAAGAAATTAACATGGGATGCTTTAGGCTAATTATTCTGCCCTTTGAATCCAGAGCTTCAAAGAGTACAGGGCGATACTCTCTCCTCATGAACAAAGTATCCGCTCACATTTTCGATGAAATCCCGGAACTTTCCCTTGGATTCTCGAGAAATCATGACAAACGGGTCCCACTGCTCGGCGGTCAAAAGAGGTCCCAAATCGCGTCCGGGAGCCCCGTTTCCCGGTCGGAGAATTAATCATTCCTCGGGACTCGTGGAGCATGGGAAGGAAAAGTGGACCTCCCTTTATTCGTAGACTTCGCCTCCACCGGTGTGACGGAAAAGCGGGTCGCTTTCTCTCGGCACGACCTTCAAATGATTGATGCATCCTTACGCCTGGAGCCAGTGGTCTCGGTCATCATCGCCGCCGGCTGACTGGCTGGCCGGCCGACCTAGCGTCTGTGCGAAGAAAAGTCCACGCCAGGGAGGTGACGGTCGTTACTCCCTTTGCCGGTCGATCCGTCGGGTGGACCCGTGAGTCCGGCGGTCGGTGCACTAACCCGGCCGTCGTTCATCTGCCAAGGGCGTCTCTTCAAGCTGTTCACAAGTTTGCTCGGTCGCGGCCCCAGGAAACACATCTCGGGAACTCCCTGAAATTTTGATCGACGTCCATGTCACTCGAGAAGATAACAAGTCTCGTCTCAGCAGGAATTTCCCTCCATCCGCCCCGGGTGTTTTAGATCCGATGCAGAGCGTGAAAGGATTTGCTTTTCAATCGGAACCATTGAATTCGCCGGAGCTCATGGGTCCTCCGCCTCTCTAGATTTCCTAGCGGCCTCAGCTTGCAGATACGTATGAGGACACATTGTTATCCCAGAAGGGCAGGGCGTTTGTCCATCCAAATAAAAGCGCCACGCGGCGGATATGAGCCCCGAAACATCCGTAATAAGCCCGTGCGAAATAAGCGCCCAAGTTCCACGGCCGCTACGATCCGTTGCAGTGTATTAAGGCCTCAGTGGATTCCTTACCTTCATTAGCATGACAATGAAGTGCAAACGTTTCAGCTTTCTAACTCAAGTCACGGATTCTTGCGGACGGAACACCGTACGGGAGGCTCCTCCGCCAGCCATGAGCATCCAGCTGTTGGGTGGATTTGTCGCCCGTCCTTCGGAAGCGCCCTTCGGTAAGAGATCCGTGGGCAGAGAGCCCGGACTTTATCCTTCGATGCAACATACGGTCCTTGGTCTCGTTGTTCTTCTTGGGTATTCCGCTGAAGAAAAAGGTACGTATCCATCTGTTCGAGAGAACAGCAAGCCATGCGGGCGATTCGGGGAAGGGAATTATTATTTCTGCTGAAGCAGGGAGGAGGGGGGTTCGGGTCCCCGGGACATTGACGCGCGGTATACTTGGGAGTAGTCTCATCAAGAAATTAACTGTCGATCGGAGAAAATGCCGCTCATGAGCATCACTCAACATGCTGCCATGAATTTATCGAGTTCGCCCCCGAGAAAAAATCCCCCCAGTGAAGAATTTGACCCCGACAAGCCCGCTCTCTGACAAGATCCTTGATCTTCCCGATACAGCTTAGTTAGCAAGGCGGATTGGGATGGATTGCGCCGAAGCATACACAGAAGAGGCGGAATCGTATAATACCACTGCTAGATCCCTGGGGCCGTTCGGCGTCGTTGCGTGGGGATGGAGTAGGTTTCCGGCTCTGATGAACGAGATCGATCGCGTCTCGATTATGTCGCTTTCATAAACGCCTCTGAAAGCGACAAGAGGAGTTACCACGTTTCGAGATTCCCAGATATACGCGCGGAAGATGCACACGAGAGACTCTGCATGTGCTGCGGGACAGTCGGGATTTCTCTCAGCCGCAGAAAGGGCACGAACTTTACCGATTCAGAGTCTGGAAAAGGCAACCTCCGATGGGGAGTTCGGTACATGAAAAATTCTCCAACCATTCAGTTTGGATTGGTGACGACGCCGACGGTAGCGTTGAACGCCCTTATGAATGTTCCTGTCGTTTCCAGCTGCTGCCACCTGGCTGAGAAGCTTCTCCCACCATTCTTCTTGGCAGTCCCGCTGGAATCCGCTGGAGGTCTGCGGGACATGAAAACGAACGTCTGTTTTTGTCGTCATGAGGTCTTCCCACTCATATGTCTTCAGCTGGCCGCAAGAAAAATGTTCTGCATACTCTCGCCAAGAGCTCTGCATACGGAATCAGACGAAATGTGCAGAGTACGTACATACGTGCAGTCGTAAACGGCGGGAAACTCCACATAGCATATGTCTAATTCACTCTACCAAAGAAGATAAGGATTTTGTCACGGAGGGTGCAAACTTCGGAATCTCTTGGAGAGAAGGGATCCTGATGACGTCATTCTCAACATTCTCTCATCTCACTCCTCATCAGCGAGAGATTTCGGCCTGACGGGTCTTTCGTTATTTTTCCCAGGCCGAATGGTCGCGTTTTCCACGAGGGTCCGCCATCAAATTAAAATTATTCAATTTTCCAAAGTGGTTCCGTCGGGCTCACGTCAACGTCGGCGCTTATTTTCAACGCCTCTATTAAGCGCACACGCGTGCTGAACTCGAGTCTACGGTTGACCGTTCGGCTTCCATCGCTGCAGTTGGAGGAGTTCTTACACGACTCGATCGCACTCACGTCAAGTTTTTTTCTGCTCCCAGCGGAACGGTGAGGAACATGCACAGGCCGAGTTCGAGCTCCACACGGGTCCCGTTCAGCATAAAAATCGACTCTAATGCCGAGAATGGCAACTTTCAAACTTCGAGGGGTCAACTTTAATCAAGCTCCAGGAGGATCGCTCTGCGAGACCCCACGAATACAGATTTCATGCTGGAATCCCTCGCTTAAGTCCAGCATCAGGCGTCAGTAGGAAAATCATGTCGTCGCAGTCGGAGAGACGGCGGACTGCGTATCCATGCCCTATATGTACCATATGAAGGTTCGCGTTTCCACCCGCTATTCAAGTCAGGAGTAAGGCAGCCAGAGCGAACCCATCGGACTGTTACAACTTCTCCCGAGACCGAAAACTGTATAGATGTTCCCTGATCTGAACGATGTCGAAACCGAGTCCCTGGCGTGAAGTTTCGAAGTCTGAGCTATTTGAGGGAACGGATGTATATTAATATGCATTCCTTCAGATATAAATTCACTCGTCTCCGACCGGAGCCACCGCCACGAACCAGCGGAGACCCGGGTGAGAAAGTCCGTCGATCACATCAAAGTCAAGGTCCCACTCATCCCAGTGGGGAACGAAGATAAATTGCTTGGAGATTTGCTCATTGTGATAAATGGAATAGAGAGAGTGATTTCTAGTATACGCCTTCATTACCGTACACAGGAACTCCCTCCGGCATCCAGAGGATGTATTCGCTGTTAGCCGCCGTACAGAAGTTTTCGTCACCCGAGGGGAGGCAACCACGCAAAAATTTCCCGTGAAGATCTCAGGATTCCTGTCTCGAGAACATGTGTGGAGATCCGAAAGTCACGGAGCGGTCGCTATAGCCGCGGGAGAATGACGACACGGAGGAGTCACATCGGAGCTCTTTTCCAATAAAGACGAATGAGTCTCCCTTAATTGACTCCGTCTGTTCGATCGTCATGTTCGGTTCTGAACCGAGAGCGCAGCCCGACGGACGCAAACAGGAGGAGGTAAATATCCCTAAGTGCTCCGGAGTTCGGATTTCTCCACGATAGTAACAAATGAAACTAGCGCTCGTCAAGACCCTTCATTCCGGCGAATGTCTTCTCAACATTGCTCCATTTATTTCGATTTCAACTCGCCTTCCCGGTTCTACTTACCGCCGCCGGCTGCTGCTGCATCCGGGGAGATCCTCGCTCCCTAGCAACTACCAGCTCGATGGCGGAACGCGCGTATAGAGGATGGATCTCGCTGTCAGCAGCCAATCCCGAACCTGCGAGAAACCGACTCGGAGCTGCGCGCTCGGATTTCGATCAGCCAGAGGGCTCAGCGAGTCGTGGATCAAATCCCCCACGAGATCGCGTATCCGAAGATTCGGAATGTTCCGTGTCCCCGTGGGATCGAGAGTATCCATGGTAGCTATGGATCGGCAATCTGGTTTCAGCTTCTCCAGAGCAGACTCTTTAATTGCTGATTTCTTCCTCAGACCTTTGTCGGGCTGAGCGGAAGTTCTGTTCGAAGATGCGACAGGGATCGCCTCCCGCTGGTTCCATCGCCGAGACCTCCTCACCCCAAAGAGAACAAAATGTCAACTCCCTACACTTCTCGAATTTGGGTTCGTTTAGTTTCAAACGTGGCGGT